ATTATCTAAGCTTGACCATCCAACCAATTTTTTATCTGTCTAGTTTTCCACTCATCCAAACTGTGGTATCTCACCTTGGATATACGAACACTGTGAGACAGTATTAAAAGCTTTGCAAAAGTCAAGGTGCTGCCCTTGCATCCACAAATTCAGACATTTTATCATAGAAGGCAACCAGATTGGTTAAGCAGTTGGCAACCTCATGCAGACTCTTGCAGCTTTCACCATGAATCTTGGGAAGGAGCATGATCCAAAGCCTGGGAATGGTGGTGTTCCTATCTGGGCACCAACACAATTTTGAATATTTCTGTAGTGTTTTTACTCTCTCATTTCAAAACTTAAAAAATATGAAGAATGTCAAAGAGCAGTCTGCTACTGATGCCAATGTTAATTGTTTTTGGAGCTTTCTATTGACGATGTTGGTGGCTGCATAACCAGCTAGGATGGAACATTACCAGTTGTCTATTGGTGAAGGGAAACTCTGGCAGAAAAGTGATTTACTCAACATCATACATGTCTGTTGTCAGGCAGGAGCAGAACTCAGGATGTACTCCTTTCTGGTCACATCCCCAAATTTATCACATGATAACTAATGCCAAGAGCACAGTCTTCCATTCAAACTCTTGAGACAAATAACTACTTCTTCCATCCAGTGACCTCAGCTTGAGGTTTCATTGCATTATAAATATACATGTCTAGCATGTATAACAAAAAAGCAACACAATGGTGAAGTTAATTATCTGGATTGCAACATGCACTTCGCTCTGATAATAAGCACTTATGGTGAACATGAGCTCATTGGGGAATGTTAAAAAACCTAGGATGACAGACTGAAAAAAGCAGGTACATGAACAGAGACAGCAAAGCTGGCAAAAAATATTGCTGTTGCAAATGGAAAGTAAATATTTATTTTATGTTTCTATGGGAAATTTCTAGATGTGTGTGGTTTTGATTTTAAAAATACTACATTTTAACATAAATATAGCTATACAGCTCTCATTCATGTTTTAAAACCTTCTGTGTAATTTTTAACTTAAAAATACAAAAAGCATAGGACAGTGTCTTTCTCCTCTTCTTCCCTTCCTGAATCGTCTGTTTCACCTAGGAAATCACTGGTGTGTTTTTGCCAGATGTCTTAAAGGTACAAAACAAAGAATCTAGATTTCTGTGTGTGTAAGTAAACTAAAAGGAATCCAGTGCACATGGGGAGCCAGACACAGAAGGTGTACTACAGATTTCCATCCCGTTATCAGCTCTGCCTTCTGTATTTGCTAGTTGTTTGGCATGCTCTACCTGTCTGCGCAATGCTTCTTCTAATGTTGCACGTTGTCTCCAGGAGAGAAATTAGGATTTCTCATGCTGTGCTTATGCACAGTTCTCCCAAATTAATTTAAAATATTCACATGTACATAACAGCTAACAAATGAGAAGGCTATTGCTAATTTCCACATAGTAAACAAGCTAAATCATCAGTTTAGTTTTGTTGATATATCCAACCAAGTCAGGGTTTTCTAGTGGGTTTTTTCAGTTTTCTTTTGTCCTCTTTTTCCCCTCATCTCTGTAAATGAATTGCTCTTTCTGTTGCTTTGATCCAGCAGAAAAGAAAGGCGTTACAAAACAAGTCAATTAACAACATTTGTAGTATTTATCAAATAACTACTCATCAGATTAGAGAGCAGCAAGGCCTTCCAAGGTGTTATACAATGGCATAATGAATGCCAACAAGGAGGTGAGCCACCATCAAAATTAGAAAGATTTAAAGCAACACAACAAACACATTCTGCAGCTCCTCGTCTAAGAACATACCTATAGTTTCCTTGCACACACACCATGTTTGCACAGAAATTATGCAACCACACATGGTAGGTGGAATTCTTCATTTACAGATTATTTTAGCCCAGATTCTTTTGCAGTTCCCTGCACTTCAATCCACTGTGGCTTGGATGTGGTAGAGTTACACAGGTACAAATCAGGCCAGTATTTGGCTCTTTAGTTCAGTACTTATTTACTGAAAGGTAAAAAGGGACATTTCTTTTTATTACAATTTCTCAGCAAGCATCTTGCCACAAGTAGAAAACCATTATTATGTTTAAGCAGTGCTATCACAAAACCCAGCATATTTAGGAGCTGTCATGGGGACTGACTAGTCTGAGAACATCATTGTCCTCTAAATTGAGCAAAGAATTTACACTATTAATGTTAGAAGTCAGTATCTTTGTCTGATCATCAAAGTTTACATTGCAGGATACTTGAGAAGGCACATCTCTCCTCACAGAGGAAATAATGAAGAGCTTGGTTGCAAGTAAAAACTGCTGTGCAGAAAATGGCCCTTGGAGCGATTGGCTTCCCTGGGAGTTGGACCTGTGTCTGCTGGCTGGCTGAATCATAAGACTAGTCAGCATGACTTCACAGTCTGTCATCTGGATAAAACACAGGAAACAACCTGTGTCTACACTAAGGAGAGGCATTCTGTTATTGCGGGATTTGCGATCTGTTTCTGAATCTAATAGCCTGTTCCCTAACTGTGCACTGATTTGAATTAGTTTTATTGTACTTGCCAGTGTGATGAGTGGCAAGAGTAAAGTTATGTGGTGGTAGGAAATATAAGGTGTATTGCAGTGTTCAGTTATGTACTAGGTCCTTTTCCTCAGAATATTCAGAGCCTCACAAACTCTCAGCATTTTAAAAGGCTGTTGCCCACTTCATCATGATGCTGGATTTGCTTGAATGCTGATAATAAAGTGCTGGCAAATTTTAGCTGCAACCTGTTCACTCTCCTTGTCCAAGGAATTAGAAGGAAAACGCCAAAGTTTATGTAACACTGTGTAAACTGAGAAGCAACACAGCATGCCCAGAGAATGGTAACCATGAATGTTGTTGCTGTGCAATGAAAATGATGGTATGCTTGGAATAGAGCTGACAAACCACTATGAAATTCACTGTAAGAGGATGTCTATAAACCACCAAAGGACGAGCTGAGGTGTAGTATGCATGACATCCATGTAGATGACAAAATATCCTTCTGTGGCATTCCAAGAGGTGTTGTATAACACAGACAAGGCCATGCAGTGCACTCTAAAAGTACTGAGGGAGCTGTTTGGTGTCATTGCAAACCTGCTTCAATAATCTTTAAAAGGTTGTGGTGATTGGCCAAGGTTTCTGTACAATGTCATGAAAACATGTCATCCCTATCTCTATGAATAACAAAGAGGATTCAGGGAACTGGACCATATCAGTCTCACCTTGACTTTGGGGAATGTGATGGAGAAAATAACCCTAAAAATAACTAAAAATAACTTCCTTAAAAATTTTAAGATGGTGTTGGGATTAGTCAGCACAAATTCACAAGAGGAAATAATATCTAACAAATCTGACAGCTTTCTATGAAGAGCATCTCACTGGATGATGGGAGACCAATGGACCAATGGGTCCCAGACAACCAGATCTAGGTGGTCTGCTTCAGCAGGAGCCCAATGGACAAGATGTAGTCCAAAGACTCATTCCAGCCTCAGTCATTCTGTCATTGTGTAAAATATATCTATGGCATTGCTAAGGACTACAGTTTGTGTGTGTGCTTGACTCATACACCAAATAAGCAATTCAAATGCATGATAGCAGATAATACAATGTTTTAGGAGCATCTATAAACTGGAGCTGTTTTGTATTCTGTGGCCCAAGCAGCTGGAAAAGTGGATCTCTGCTTACACCATTTAATTACTAGCACAGAGAATGACACTTCCTGTTTGCTCTAAGTAAAGATATGAGCAACAGATTTTGAACTAAGTCTCTGATAAACAGTAAGTGCTTTGGTATCCTGAGCTGCTGTAGTACATGAATCCCAGGGCATTCAATATTAATTCTGAGTACTCAAAAAAACACCTAAAAGAGAGGCAGATCCTGGAAAGAAAACCAGAAATCCCAATCTAGTAGTTGTGCTTCTATCTCGAGCTTTTATTCAGTTTGTTTTCCATTTATTCATTCTTGCTATTCTTAGGAAGAATGCCATTCTTAATGGCAGCAGAGAGTGACTTGGAAAAAGAACAGTTGAAATCAAGCCTGTTGTGATCAAACCTAGTACACTGTTGGCTGCTGTCTGTGCAATGGTCTTGTTCCACAACTCAGAAAACCAGGAAATCTCTGCACCAACTAACTGGAGGCTACCGATTCTGTGGAGTAACAAATCACATAGGCTTATTAAAACAAGAACTCACAGCCACGCATCAAGTGTATACATGAACACAGAATATTTTTAGGTTCTTTATAAGGAAGTGTCTTGAATGGGTCTGCTTTCCAACACTCACATTAACCTGTTTATCACCTTCAAGAACCCTGTTCCTATACAGGACTACCCTGTGGTTCTGCAAACAGTCCTGATACCCCACTCCTCTTAAGACCAGACAGACCTATTTGGAACATACTTACGAATAAAAGCTCAAGAGAAGTAAGAGGCCAATTAAAATGCTATAGGTGCAATGCTGGGACTATGGCAATCATATGTCAAATATCTATTTGCTTTTGTTTTTATGACTGCATGTTAACTGCATTAAGTTTTAATGCACACTGAAATGCTGTGAATGACAAGTGGCAAAAAATGCTTTGAAACAATTCCTTGCTGTGACACTTTAAGGAGGACATTGCATTAACAGTTTATTTCAATAATACAAACTTCTGAGAGATTGGAAATTAGGTGTTCCAAATTAGCTTTAAATATAGCACAAGAAGCTTCAGTTTTAATGGACAAAGCCTGTTCCCACCACATGCACCCTTGTACTGCCAAGAGGGCTTTGAAATAAAATAAAGTGGCAAGTTTGAGGCTATTAGTGTCAGAGTCAGACAAGCCAAGCAATTGTAAATTAAGTTGATCTCAGTATTAAAGAAATCTCTTTGCATGAACTCTTATGCTCCCCTTCACTCTGGAAACCAAGTTATTCCCTTGAGAAGGTACCTGGCTTCTAAGGCATTTGCTGAAGCATGAGAAATACTATAGATGACTGCTTGAATAATTTCCAGATAACAAAGTATCTTTATTTAAAATCAGACCCTCATTAATGCACAAAGTACAGAAAAAGAAAATTAAATTCAAAGAAACTTATAAAAGCTTCTTGTAAAGTAACAGTACTCCTCAGTAAAATCTTAGGTTAATAACTCCAGATTAGTCAAGCCTATAACGCTAGACTGAATCATAACAAGAATTGGTTTTTCCAGGAATTCCTTCTTTGGTAAAACTCAGAAGGTATCACTTTTCATTTTGAGGTAAGCAAACTTTGACAACAAAGATTTTCATTTAAACTGAAAAGGAGGGCACAGAAAATGAACAGAAACAGGAACAAAAAAAAAGTATTCACCTTTGAAAGTCTGTGACAAATCAGGAAAGTCAATGAAATTACAGTCCGCATCTCTGAATGGTCTCTTTGTCCAAGGGCTGCAAGGTATAACCTGATCATAACCCTCATGTAGTGTCATGTCTGGCATCCCTTCTGGGTGCTTTGGATGCCTTAGGGCCTGGCAAATGCCAGTAGAGGTCTGAACAACTAAATCAAACTTCTGGTCTGGCCCAGTGAGATACTGAGTTTTGAGGCCCCGGTGATGGTACCGACCAGACCTCCGCGACTTACAGTGGAGTTCAGAGCTGTTCATGCCAGCCCTGACACAGACACACAATACAGGACTCTGTCTCAAACTTTACCTCCTCTCAAAGGCAGAAAAAGCAGACATGAACTGTCAGTATAGTGAAGAGCATGGAGAAATGTAAAATCTTTAGTTATATAATGAGAGCACTCAGGTAATTGGAGCTCCAAGATCTTCTTGCCCTTACCTGCAGTACTTGAGTCTTCCGAAAGATAAATATAGTGTCAGAGGCTTCTGATGAATTCTATTTTAATTCCTGATGATTTGCATTTTAACTGCTTAACAAAAATGGTATTTACTAAGCAGAGAATTATTTCTACTTGTAATTACTGTAACTTTTGTTTAAAAATTGCTACAAAATCAAGTTATAAAAATGTATTTTTAAGGATATTCTAGTGTTACTATTCAAAAAAAACCCCCAGCCAATATCATGTAAATGGTTTTATTCACAAAAAAAGTCAGCAATATAAAATATTTTAACATTCTTTTCTGTTTAAATATTGGTGACGGATTACGCATTTGCTCAAAGTGCTGTTTTTACAAATAGGTATTTTGTTTTTACTTTTTACTGCCGTTCTAACCTCATAATATTGAATAGATAAAGTATATTTTGCTTATTGAAGAATACGGCATTTCTTCTCCTGTATATTTCTTCCCATTAAATCATGACATTTTCAATCTAGACTACTTTATCTGTATCCAATCAATAGAGGCATATTCAGCTTATGTATTTCTCCATGTAGAAGGGGTCACAATCTGTGGTGTCCTTCTTGCCTTCTTCCATGTTTTTGTTGCTCTTGTCTGTGCCCATCTTGGTCTCCCATGGATTCTTCACCTATTGCCAAGAGTGGAATGAAACATCCATCTTCTTGTGTGTTCATTCATTCTTCCGGCTCTTCTGACTTTGCTCTTCTTAAATTCAGACCACTGATGCTTTCAACAATTCAATACTTAGGTTGAACTATAGAGGCAATCTCTTTATTATTTTCTTTGCCTTTCTGAGGGTTTTGTATTTTAAGCATGTTACTGCAGAAAATCCTATGTCAGTGTAGTCAGGACTAACTTTTCAAATTTTCATTTGTATGGATTTGTATGGATTCACTTAGTCAGATGCCAAACTTCACCATAAAAAATAAAACCACACTTTTGTTACAGCAGCTATCTTTTAGAAGAAATGGCTTCTTGTGGTTTCAAAGAGCAGCCAGGAGCTGTAAGAGGGAAAAAAAAAAAAAGAAGTCTGAAAAACTGCAACCAGCAAGACTCACAGCTGTAAACAAGAGAATAATTCCACAACTACTGGAAACAGGCCCACATTTCCCAATGTACTTGTTATACCAGTATCTAAGTTTGATCCTGTAATTCATTTTACTCATCTTAAGCTGTCTCCTTTAAAGATACGGTATAAAAAGTCAAACTCGTGTGTGAAAAGGTCACCTACTGCCACAAAGTTTCCAGTATCCCTCTTTTCTTAATGTGCACCTTTCCAGTAAGCAATTATCTGGATCCTATATGATTTTTATATGCAAATCTGTATTGATTTTGCTCCTGTTTTTACTTCTCTTTCTTCAATCTCTTAACTCCCTCCTCTGGATAATTTCCACTTGATATTTTTGAGTGTGAATCCAAAAATGAAAATAAATACCCAAATAACTCTGTATCTGCAGGTATGTATGTATCTATCAATATATGTAACATACTATAATATGTAAAAAGAAACAGGAAGACCAGAATTTCCAATAACTATAGACTGAATGGCATAATTTTTTTTTTTTTTTTTTGATCATAGGTAGAGCTATTCTTCCTTTAAACTTTTGTCTGGAGACTATTCAGTTTATTCTTTTGATATCTATCTCCTGGCTTTGTTCATTGCCCCTGCCAGATTTTGGATTTTCTCTTTTCTTTCCACCTATTAGAAGTGTTGTTTAGATGGGGAAGAGTAGCTGGATGCCTGTACCAAGTGACAAGGCTGATCTTTTTCTTTCAAACATTTCAATAAACTCGGCATTAAAAGGCAAACTAAGTTAACTGGTACTTAGCTTTACCCCCAACAAATCTTAATAGGATTTTTCATAATGAGTTTAAGAAATATTCTAGCAGAAAAAGATTGTGTCCTTCTAAGTATAAACCTTGGATGTTCTCTTGCATTTTTCATGCCATTTTTGCAGAAATGGCAAATTCTGTTGCAAGCCATAAATGGGCATGGGAACTTCCATGAATTGTTTCCATTTTTCATCAGAGGATTTAACATGTAACACTTCCTTACACATTTATTATAACTAGCATAACTAGCATGTAAGATTTTATGTCTACTCTTCTGGAGGAAATTATTTCATTTGCTTTTCTCCTCCCCCCCCTCTTTTTTTTTCATAAGAATTCACATGATTTTTTTTTAGCTTTTTATTTCTGATTTGGCAAGTTTGTGTTGAAATGCAACTCTGTCTTCTTTGGTGCAATTTGTTTCAATTAACGTACCAACCGCTGCCAGATCTGTTCAACCTCTTGATTGCACTCAGTTAATGGGAGCATGAAACTTAACACAGCCCCCCAAAATAAACTAAACAGTTAGTCCGGACAACTAGGTATTCAGAAAGTCCAATCTTTTTTACCAGAATCCTGTTAAGGTCACCTCAAACCACAAACAGAATCTTTTCCTGGGATAATACTATTTGTTAAATCCCATTCTCTCAGAGAGCTGGACTTTATGCTGCCACTTGCTGTTTCACTGAAGTTGGAATCCAGATAAAGGATCCAGACATTTTGTTCCTCAGAGCAGTAATGTTGCCTCATGCTTCCATGGGCTGGTTATCTCCTCTAAATGGTAAAGCAGCACAGTAATTCTGTGTTTGGAGGACACATTCACTGGGCTATAAAGGAGCAGTATCTTCCTAGTAATTTATATTATCACGGAGAGGGTGCATTGTCAATTTTCCAAGATGTAATAGTAGTAGTCAAACCACCAAAGTGTCAAAACCTGCCAAAATGTTCAGTCTTGGAATGAATAATTTTATCAGAATTTTCTAAAAATGACCAACTAATTTCCATTTAAAAAAGAGATGGAGGCAACATTGCCCATGCAAGTACTGTTTGCCTATTCAGAATTCATAGTGCCTCCAAACCTAATGGCTTGGATGTCCAGTAACCTCTGAATCATTTACACTCCTCTGCCTTATGCCAGTCAGGCAAGGACTGTAGCAAGGAATTCACACAGCCTAACCTAGTGTCCCTGGCATGGGATGGGGTGGAAGGATTCCATTTCAGAAACCTTTATGTGGGAGTCCAAGACAGCTTAACCGGAAGTACTAGCAAAAAAGAATATGAAACAAATACACAAAGCAAGTAATAGAAAATTTCTAAGCTAGACATCCTAGAGAAGCAGAAAGATTAAACAGCTGAACTGCTGTGTGCAGAACACATGTTGTTGTTCAAACTGTCACATAACTGAGATGTGGTAACAGTGACACAAATCTTTTTAATGGTTCAACAGGAAATGTAGAGAAACAGACCAGTGAGGTGGACAGTAATACCAACCAACAATCTGAAATTTTGTTGGAAACAATCAAGAAGGGATTTTAGAAGTCTTGCCTCACCAACCTACTAGAATTCCTTGAAGGTGCCAGCAGTCATGTAGATAAAAGAGGTCCATTTGATGCTTGGATTTTGACAAGGCATTTCACAAGGTCCAAGGTTAGCCTCAAGATAACAAGGAACCCACAAGGTAAAAATAAAATTTCTTGTGTGGATAAATAATTTCTTAGGGAGGCAGAGGATAGAAGTTTGCAGTAAATAGTGATTTTTCCATAGTAGAGAGATTGACCACTAGTATTTCATAGGCATCTGCAAGAGGATATTCAGGATATGAACAGTATATTCAATATATGATTTTGAAAGGGCATATAGAGTGAAGAGAAAAACCTTCCTAAGTTATCCATATAAATAAAAATAAAGATATACAGAAGACTGGCAAAAAGATGTCATATGACATCTGTGCCTAAACAATAAGATAGTGACAAAATTTGGTGAAGATAAATATGAAGTAATATGAAGTAAGGCAAATGGAAAAGATGATGTATGTGTGTTTATATAAAATTATAGGCTATGAGCTCAAATTCAGTAGATCAGCTGGGTTGTAAGAGGTAATTCAAATTAATACCAATTCTGTCTTCAATTACAGCCAACACGGCAAAGTACCAGAAATAACTAGAAAAGGGCAAGAGAATGGAAAGCACAGAACCCAACTGAAAAACAAACATCAGTCTGTCATGTAAATCCATAATATGCCTACATATTGAATAATGTTTGCTAGGCTGGTACCTCCCAAGTCTTAAAAAGACAATAACAGAAAAGGAAAAGAGGTTAGAAAACCTATGATATGGGGAATAACAAAGCAGCCTATAAGCCTTCCCCTCAAAAAAAACATGAATGAAGAAGGATATCACAGTGATCTGTAAAATCATCAGTGGCATGGAGGCAGTGAAGAGGAATCAGCTGCTCACTGTATCTTCAGATCCAGTATGATGAAGCAAAGGAAGTCAGGACATGGCAAGCTCACAGAAAATGAAAACAAGTAGCTCTTCAAATCAGCGTCAGATGAGACTGGATGAAAAAGTTGAACACAACTGTATGGACCTTGGATCTGCCTTGGTACAGCTGCTCTTATGCTCTAAAATATTATACATTCCTGGAAATTACTTCAAGTTCCAGAGACTGCATAAGGATTCCACTGCTACTTTTTACAACAAAAAGCAGCTTACCTGGTGCAGAAGCTTCTTTTAGCTACATGTCCTCTTCCTCTTCTCTGTTAGTGCTTCTGTTTCACAGCCAAATCTGTATCACGGAGCTCTCATACACAAAAACGCAAAAGCCAGATACCTGATGGCAGTCTTCTTGCAGCCTCTTATCAAAAGCTCAACAAGAGCAACTGTTGCCTCCATTTTTACAAAAGGATGTTGTCCCCAACACTGAGCCACCATTCTTGTCCTCTGATGTCTTCAAGACACTTAAGGTCAGCAAGTTGCTTGGCGATACATCACATCTCTATGCTTCTTTGGTTCTTGAGTAATTCCACTTCTTTGTGTAATCAAATCCCATAGAGCTTCTGCTCACCTAGTAATACCTTACAGAAGCGGCTCTTCAACTCTGGGATGTTACCAAGAGACATCCAGAAGCTCCCACACATGCAGACTGTGCTGAGAACTGAAAGTTGCATAAAGCATACAGGGACATCCAATAGTGGCTTTCAGCCAAGCTGACTACACAGAATGCTGGAAGTAGCCCACATTCACTAACTACCCTAGCAATTCCCAGTTTGCTCCAAGACATCAGTAGGTAAACAGTTATCACCTGCTTTCACACATCTAGTGAAATGCAGCTGAGTTTGGAACAACTGGGACTAAAGGTTTCCTAAAGCATGCAATACCTGAATTATTTAACATAGCCACTAAACAAATGAAATTATTTTGTGAGTAGATGAAAGCAGCAAAATAAACAATCGAAGAAGAAGCACTATTAACACGGTGAACTTCTCAAGGCTATTCAATGGCTTTCGTTGTTTCTACTAAAACATGGATACAGAAGTACACGTGGGAATAGGTTATGCCCTATGCTATAATATGGAGTAACAGATGAGTATCTGCCTTTGTTTCAGGTGGCTGGCAGGACAGAGAGTTTCAGTTTTTATATCTGAGAGAGTAGGAAATGTATTCAGTTATTACAGGTCAGCAACACTTCCCTGGGCGTTCAGTACATTTCAGAAAGCAGTTTCTCCAGCTTGGCTAGCAGATAACACTGGTGCTTGGAATACATGTATCCCAAAGAAACCAACTATAGATAATCATATAAAAATATCACCTATGCAAAAAACCTAAATGCATACATACAAAAATATATAATTAACATAGCTGCCTAAATCATTATGCTAAATTGTAGATCTTTAATATATTTATTCTACCAGATCATACTAAAGTGTCTCCTATAAAGAGTATGCTATGATTAATTACGCATCATACAGGAACACCTCCCACTGATGCTACATATGTACACACTATAGACAGTGTACTGTATACTCTGATTTGATATACTTGCATCCATTTTCTGTTTAGTAATGCAGAATAAAAATCTTATCCTTATTTCAGATAGTAATGAAGGGTGCATAACCATCTTACAGATACCTCTACTTTTTATATTAAAATCTTCTCTACAGTCTCAGCAAGAGACACACATCATTAGCCAGGAAAGCAGCTAACTGGTTTGTTTGTCGCGTTCTGTCTTCCAGCCACTACTAAATAAAGTAGCCACACACTTGGACATTAGGAAGATTTATTTAACTGAATGAGTGATTAGACACTGGAATGGGCTGCCCAGGGAGATGATGAAGTTACCATCCCTGGAGGTGTTTAAGAAAAGATGTGTGCCATGGTCTGTTTGGCATGGTGGTGTTGGGCCATAGGTTGGACTGCATGATATCAGAGGTGCTTTCCAATCTAACTGATACTGTGATTCTGTGATTCAACCTGTAACTAATTTTTCAATTAAATTCAGGTGCTACTTACATTGGGAATGACCTGGCGGTCGTGTGTTACTAACACTACTCTCAAAGGAAGAATGGAAGTTGTGTATAGTTTCTTGTAAAATCTGTCTCTCTCGACCCTGTAAAAAACAATGAAATAAAATAAAATAAAATAAAATAAAAAAATAAAAGGTAGTCTTAAATTTCTGTTTAAAAAATGAATTTATTAAGAGTACACAACAAATGTGTAAATATGCATGTCTATGTTCAGTATACTATCAGAAATAATAACAAATCCTTACCTTACAGACATATATAGAAAACCATGTAGTAATCTTTACCTGAAACTACCAGACAACAATAGAAACATTTTCATTATTTTCTTCCTATCTTTATGGCATATCTTAGTATGGAATATCATCCCTCCCCTCATTTTTAGCCTCATCACTACTTAGGGAAATTGTCTTTGTGTTTTGTTTGTCTTAATTTCCACTTTCAGAGAGCAAACAGACCTCAAATCTAAAAAAAGGAAGAGGAAGAGGAAGGGGAAGGGGAAGGGGAAAAGGAGCACTATTCACCTGATCACAGAGGAATCAAAACCTGTTAACTATAGGACACACTTCCTCTCATACTATATTCTCTAGCTACACTATTGCAGCCAGATGATTCTTTTTAGCACTGCTGAAATCAATATTCAGAAACTGCAAAATTGCTCATGTTTACAAGTAGCTTGTTCACTGGACTAGGAAAGAGTTATTGAAAGAGAACAGAAAGTGCCAGAAAGGAAGAATTTTTACTAGTCAAATACATGAAACACTGCGTTTGGAAAAAATGATTTTAGCTTTTCTAACTAACATCCGCAACTGAATTTCAAAATGTATGTTGAATTAATTGTATAAAAAATCTTGAAATAATTTACAGTGTACAATACTTTAAAATGTACCTTTCCTGCATTCAGTTCAGAAATAGCTGCCAAAATTTGCTGCCTTGATCCATCTGTTTTAATACCCAGCTCTTTCAGATCACCATCAGTAAGTGTGAGGAAAGCTTCCATATCCACCTGCATATTAAAAAAAAAGAAGAAATAAAAGGTAACACAAATTTACCTACGCAAAGATTCATTACTACAGGTTAAAAGAGGTTTGTTGGGTTTTTTTAATTGTATAGATTTAATGTAAATACTGTGCAAAAAGAATTTCTAATTAATTTCTAGCTCCAAATGGTACACACTTTACCACTCTGTTGTAAGGCTTCTAATTTGCTGTTAATCATTCAACTAATCATGATAGTACATCCTAAATATTAATGGATTTTTATTTTTTTTCCCATCAAGTTCTATTAATTCAGACTATATCATCTCCACAGAAATTCCTCTGCCTACAGTAGCAGCTACCTGAATAAAGCTAAGGTTTCTCTCTTTTCTTCACCCTTTCCCCATAAGTATTTCTGGAATTTCAGAATATTGTGTTTACTTTTCCAGTGTCTCCTGAGACAAACCTAGGATTTGTTCATATATCAGTTTTTATTATAACAACATATCCATAATGTTGTGATAAGAACAAATATCTGACACTTTTCATATTGATATAACCTTCACACACGAAGCATAATAATTTCTACTCAATGCTCACTTGCCTATCATGCACAGGAATACTAATAAATAATAACCCAATATATTGTAATGCAGCTAAATTGTCTGGGCTTGTGCTGAATTTTGAACTCTGTAGCAATGTCAGCTTACTGCATGTCCGTTCACTACCCTTTTCTTTGACCAAATAAACACACAATATTTGCTCACATCTGATCCTGCCTTAAATATTGTAATGAATTACTTTTACTTATTTTCAGCAACATTTCCTTTCATTGCATCCTTCAGTGAGTCAATGTCACAGCTCTCATCTATGGCTACGCTCCCCAGTTTAATTCTCCTATTGCTTATGCACAGCAGATAAAGAAGATAAAACAGCCATCTCGGTGACTCACACCTTGTTGTTCTCCTTCTGAAAATGAGGTTTCAGCTGTGATTCTAGGGATGATATAGTATGTTGTATGAACTGTTTAGCCACATTGGATACAGACATATATAGAAAAAGCAGAGTGTAACAACAGAGAGGAAAAAAACCCTATGTATACAAAAAGCTGTAGGTTAAGTGTAAAAAGCTCTGCTATTTGCATTATTCTGGAGAATGCCACAAATATCACTTGGTCTATGTTTCAAGGTTCTCTCTGAAATCAGGAATGGTTGTAGAACTTGATTCTGTATCACAAATCTGATGCAATGTGTTATATCCTACTTTCATTAAAACGGTAAAAAAAAAAAAAGATCTTTTCTAAAAGACATACCTCCTGCTCCTCAAATATAGGCTGATATTTCTCAAGTGACAATTTTTTAAGGATGCCAGTCAACTCATCTGTAATAACAGAAAAAAAATTAGTCAACTCCATAGATTAGAAAATATTGTAATAATCTCAGCATTATAAACTGAAAATATATATTAAAGCCTATATTTTCCATAGGAATTTATGGTAAGAAAAAACTAACCCCATTTATTCTCCATCAGAAATTGAAACATTGGCTTACTCTGTTCTCACCTACTTACATACACTATAAATCCATCTGGTCTTACCTTGCTAGGATAAACACCGTTGTATTGCCCTTTCTACCTCATTAAAAGAATCTTACAAAACCAAATGAATAAGGGCAACAAAGGCACTGCAATGCCTAAAATACAGGTGCTTGGCCCCAGATGGCTGATTCAGATTGTGCAGGTTAGACAGCAGAACTCCTCAAGCAGGCAAGGAACTGAAAGGCATATTTCTATGTCATCATCCAGGAAGGCAAAGTGTAGAGCAAGCAACCACACACCTGCACATTCAAAACCCTGATACAGCACAGGCCTTTCTGAACCCTCTTCTCCTTATGTGCCCAACATCCAGGCATCTTGAACACAGACAGCTGAAGTCCAGATAAGATGAAAACTGGACAGAATTTAAGTTTTACAAGGCCAAGGCTAAGAGCACTGAATATTGTCTTTCCTCTGAAAGCCTAAGAAAATTAAATGTGACCTGACAATGACTCTTCCCACACATTTAAAATGTGATTAGCTAAAAAGTTTAAGTGAGCTTTCAGAATAACCTGGCATTATCTCTCTTAATTACACACTACATCTCTCAGCTAAAGTTTTCTTTTTATTACTTTGCTATCATAAGTAACTAACTGTTTTTTCTCCTTAAGTACCTAAGTGGTCAGTTAAACTAAGTAGTCAGAATCAAAATAAAGAACATTAATTAGTACATTATAAAACAAAACTGTATTTAATATTCTGCATATAAACTCACTTTCATTTTAAAGACATCCCTAGTCAATTACCAAATATACTTTCATTTATTTCACTTCTTTGTCTTTTGACTTTCCCTTTTCTTTTGTCATCACTAGAAACATGAAAGAGAATCTCATACTCTAAGCCTCTCAAAAGACATTAAGTAGCTTGAGATAAACACATTCCTGTGTACTATTTTGGAAGACTACTTCTTTACATAGTAGAGTCCACAGACAACTGAAGAGAAAAATTCTAGTTGAGTCTTCATCTTCTGCTAGGGTTTTGGGGTTGTTTTTTGTTTGTTTGTTTTTTTTTTTTGTTTTTTTTTTTGTTTTGTTTTTTTTTTTGCTTTAACTTCAACTAACTTGGTATGCCCAAAATGATTTGCATAAGTTGATTTGGTCTCAGACTAAAAGCTTTAGTACCCTGAAATTAATCAATGGGAAAAGGCAGTCAGTTTTAAAAATGTATGATGGGAACTTCTCCATATTGTTGGATGAAAAATATCATCTTAGAGAAAGAAAACAGAATTCTCATTAGATGACCCTTAGGTATATTATTAATGTTTTTTGCTTATAGGTTATTAGTTACCCTTCTAATTTTTCATCATGTTGTTGTGCTTAGAACTGTAGGCCATGATATGGGAAGAAACTTTCAGGGTATCTGAGTTCAGTCTTATTGTCATAAACAACTATAACACCAAACATCTTTCACACATAGAGAACGCTTTCAGGTGTAGGCCCTTCTTCCAGTTCCTGTACTATTACTCTAAGGCTGAACAAAACCTGAAACCTCTCAGTTTTACAACTCTTGCTTAACATGTTTGTCCTTTGCTTTACCACTCTATTTGCTCTACACTTATCTTGTCTCCTTACCTCCATCCCTGGAGCAAGCTAAGATTCTTGGAGCTCTTACTGCTTTTGCCATTTTACTCCTATTTAGCACCTCCTTTTATACTATTCTACAGTAATAAGGTAAGATTACCTTTCTCCAAGTTTTCAGAGCCTTCTTTTACTCTCACATGGTTTCGTCTTTCATAATTCTCGACATCACTGGCTCTCAGAATAGGGCCAAGTTGTTGATGGTCCACCAAATGGTTGCCTAAAAAGAAACAAGGAATATCTCTGAATGCTGCTGCCTACTGTTCCTTCACAGTAGCAGTCAATGTAAATCAATTTTCTTACTCTTTTAAGCTCACTTGAAAGAAAAGTTAACACTGCAGACCTTCTGTACTTATTCTTCTGATTACTGCTTGGCATATCAGCATTTGTACTGCTGCTGCTGAATCAAACATCAGTAAGAGAAGCCCTTGAATTACAGGAGCACTTAACTACAAAAGCTTACAAATACAATGAACCCAGAGCTGCTTGGGCTTCTGACAAACAACCTTTTCTCTGCTACAAGGGAACTCAAAGAATCCTGGCATTAGTGCACGGTCACAAAACCGATCTTGACTGAGTGAGATGAGAGCAGCTGATGGCTTGGGGAATTCGCTTCATTATCCAACAGTGAGTTCTCCTGCTTTTAAGCATCTGTCATGGTTTGAAATTGGCACAATCCCAGTGCCCTTATGAAAATGTAATTTTTCAATTGAATGTAGTGAAATGTGATTGAGAACAGAGTAAAGCAGGCTTAAGTTTAATAACAAGGAAAAAAACTTTATTAAGCTATTACTACTATATTATTATAAAAGGAAAAAGAAAGAAAAAAACCACACACAAGATTCAAAATGAAAACTTTTTAAAGTATTCTTCTTCCTACCATCTAACTCTGACAAACCACAGTGAGACACAACCTGGACCTTAATTAGGTTTCCACCCTCTAGACAATTGATATTCAGTCTATTGAGGGAGAGAGGAGCCCCTCCTGTGCCACAGACCCCCCAAGAAACACAGCTGCCACATCCTGTGTTTCCATGTCACTCATGGCACCGCCCGGAGAAAAAAGTTTGCTAATGGTGACCCTCTCCTTTTTATGTACAGTGCTTTCACTACTAATGTATGGATGGACAGACTGTTTTTAGGATTTTTCTTTTCAAGGATGCCCTGCCAAGAGGGGAAAAAACAACAGTTCAGTTTTTCATCTTTGGGACCACAGTCCCCCACATTTTCCCCTGGGGTCGAGGGTCTAAGAACAGAGATCTTCTTCTCTTCTTTTTTTTTGAAGACAGGGGGCACTACCACAAACCTCCCTAACTTTTCTCTGTTCACTCCACTTCTGGTTTTTTCCCAGCTGACGCATGGTTTCTTTGGCTTACTGGCATCTTCTTAAAATACAGTTTCTCTTGGAGGAGATCGGTGCAGTCTGTGGCTACTAAGAAGTCCAGCTAAAAGCCACTCCATCATCTCCTCCCACCTAGAACTTCTCTTTCTAACATCCCAGGGTTTAAGCTGTCTCTCTTCCTCTCTTTTAAACTGAGGAGGAGAAAAATTTCACAAAGCTTTCATTTTTCTGGAAGGGTTAAAAGTCCTGACTCCCAAGGATGGCTCGCTGCCCAGGCTCCAGCTCCCACAGCCTGGCTGGGCACCTTGTGGCCCCCCCCATCCCCCCCCCCCCCCCGGCTCTTCTCCTCCCGTGTACTGCTGACAAAACACCGCTGTCTCTTTCTCAAGAGAGAAAGTGAGACTCTAGAAGGGAGAACAGAGACATCCTAGATTTCTCTACCTTTCTATCTGCAGGGGTCAGCCCGGTTCCAGCCCCTCCACCCTTCGGCTTACTTCAGTCAGGCCATGGGGCCTTCCCCTCCCTCACCCAGCCACGGGCCAGGCAGGGGAGAGTCCTGCACTGCACGCTGACCGGAACCAGAGAGAGCGAGTTCTCCTGGGAATTCTGCTTTTAACCTCTCTGTGTTTTCAGAGGCATGTCTACTTTCAATTAGTCAATATCCAAATTGACCTCTTCCTTCTGAGAAAAATTCTTTTTCTGTGTCAAACTACAACAGCATCTCAAAATCAGCAACACTTATGTTATCAAGATCTCATTATAAAATGGCACTAAACATGAAAGGATTTGCTCCAGCAATCACTAGAATGTGTTACATCTAAGCCATGAGAAAAAGACAGAAAGAAAGTCAAGTATCACCTGTCTTCAGTGTCAAATGGAATTACTGTTAATGGACAAAGCTGGTGTAAGTGAAAATAAACCAAAATCAATAGAGACAACTTCAGAAAAAACAAAAATAGTATAAAGAGCCTCCATTCCTTATTTAAAAAGTTCTGAGTCATGTTATTTTCTTCATTTTTTTAAGGTATTTACAAGAGAAAACAAAGTTGTTGATACCCTTTTTCCATTGCAGTAAAATGACTTTTAAAAAGTTGTAATCTAGACCTAAAAGTCTAATTTAAAAGATACTAATCTTACTGGAAAAGTAATAACATCAGCAGTCTTTCTTAGGACTTTAAGTTAAAAAGAGGTTGTAATAAGGTTATTTTCATGATTCAGAAAAATAAATGCACTACAGCTCTTAACTTCATGTAGCTATGACTTGCTATGGATGAAAATTATATCTCTGTAGTGATGTGCTTCTCTGCATTTACTAAGGAAAAAAAATAGTATCGGCCAAGTGCATTTTGTACCTTCAGCAAAGGGTGAAAAACAGGACTTAAGCCATGAAGAGGCAAAATGTGGCCAAGTAAGAGTGGGCAACATAAATATTTTATGCTAGCTTTGAGGTGATACCAGTGTCTCTGTAAATGGAAAGAAACACAGGTTTTGGGAGAGAAAAAGGAAGTTTGTGCAGGAATACCAATATCACTGTAAGAAACACCATAATATATTCTAGAATTCTCATGCAGATACACACTAGTCCAGTATAGATATAGCTTTAAATACATAGTATTCTGGATGAATGGATCTCATGTAATTACAGTGAGCTACTCACCATCCTCTGTAATAGTACCACTGCTGGAGCCGTTGCTCTTGGCGTGTCTGTGAGAGGAAGACACAGAAGACTCTGCATTTTGAACCTTAGGAGATGGGGAAGGTGATGGAGAAGGTGTGAGAGTTGGTGATGTGCTTTTGGATGTAGATGAAGTCCCAGATGGAGGTCTTTTGTTCGTGTCCAGTTTTTGCTGCAGTTAATGATACAATCATTTGAGTTCAAAAATAATTCAAAAAATGTTTACCTATATGTGATGCTTCAATATTACTTGTGTACCATTTCTGAGAGCATGTAGTCACAAGTTTCTGCTTGACCTATATTGAAATAATAGAAGCAATAGTGATTTTATCCCAGATTGAAGTCTCTCATCTCAAAATTATCAAGAAAAATATATTTACTAAAGCTATAATTTTGTAAGAAAAATTATTTATTGTAAACAAAAACTGCCCACAAACACTACAAATTTTCTTTTTCTAAAATGACTACTATAGTTTAAGTACAGGTGGCATCTATGCACCACACAGTCTCTCACTCATTTCCCCACTTCCCTTGGAATGTGCAGAAGCAGAAGTAAAACTTGCATTAGAAATAAAAATAATTTAATAACTTGCACTAGAAATAAAAATAGTTTAATAACAGAAACAAAGTAAATGACTTTGACTTGAAAACAGGGATTTTCATTCAGAGATTTAAGTCTCAATTAAAGATTTTCAAAACATATGAGATGCTAATTTAAAGCAGCACTTCATGCTGGATTAACCAGAACATGTAGCAAGCACAAATAAAGTTTTGGGCACATTAAACCCCTTGCTGCACTGGAATGGAAGTTTTCAGCCAATCCTCAAATTTATTATTACCTAACAAGAGTCAAGTGATTTATGAAGAATTTAGCAAATATTTAATACATTCGTAGCCACGGAAAACAGGAAAATACATGAGTTAAAATGGGTAGTAATAATATATATACATACACATATCAACAGTCTTTTCCCAAAACCATCAATGCACTTCATCTCCTAAATTCTTTGATCTATATATACATTTTGTTGTCTGCACTGTATGACCCAAAAAGAAGGTGATTTTTTACTGGATTCCTGAATTCAGAGTTTAAATACCTTTTGTCACTCAGGCTACTACAACAAACTGATAAAAATTTGATCTAGGTAACAATGTAAGAAATGAGAATGACAGTGGTTCCTGTCTTTACAATTTTGCTTCTGTGCTGTGGCATAAATGGAACATTTCTAGCTAATGAAAAAGATGCAGATTTAAAAGATAAAACTCATTTGAGTGGTAACATTCTTCCATTACTCTATCCTATGTCAGAATGTAATATTTCCTTAGCCCTGCACTGAATTGACTAGAAGTAATGTAGTATGATACAAACTTGAGAGTTCCTTGAAGAGCATCATGAACTCATTTCAACTTTCTGCCCCAAATTTCAGTCGAAATTGTTATTGGCCATTTGTGTTGCAGAATGGTCTTGCCTCCCTAGCACAATGTCTACATTTATTTAAATTACATCGTCCTGTAAAATGTTATTCATTTTTTTATTTTCCTTTCTTTAAAGTTTGCACCATCTCACCCCTCATGGGTAAGTTTTGCAAAATTGATCAGTGTAATATCACTGCATTTTTAGATCAGCTATTTCCAAGTATAGACAGCATGATCCTAATGGGAGAACACAAGCCATTCTTCAATAGATACAGACATTAAATTTCCACCATTTACATTGCTGATTACAATAACACACTGCCAGCTTTTGCAGCCAGTATGGATCCATATTTGATTGCGTTCTCCCACCAGAAATCTCCAAAAATCACCTCAGTTGTGTGATAATTGAACATCTATAGTGAGATCTACACTATGACATGTTTTGTTACTAGTGGATAGAATGAAACTCGTCTAGACATCTAAGCAAAGAGCACATGAAAAAGCTTCAAGCCTTTCCAAAACAGTGGTATAAATGTTGTTTAAGAGTCTTTTCAACAGTACAATGAACAGCTTTTCCAGAAGATGATCTGCAGCACACTGCATTTCACTACTTTTTTATCCCCTAATGTGAGTGGAAACAGCTGGTTAACTTCTTAGTGGCAGCATTCTTGCAACAAAAGACCACTGGATCTGCAGCCAAAGCTCACGCACACAGGTATTATCTTTTGGTGGCATGATTAATATAACTGGAGATAAATGAGACTTTTGGGGGGCACACAAAGAGCTCTTCTGAAATAATTTCCAAGTTAAAAACAAGCTGAGAGGACATGCTGAGAGTTTAATTAAAACATACTGGTCAGACCTCTGGAGGAAAAAGCATTTGGTAGCTGCTCTGCAGAGAAGACTTTAATGAGGGAAGAGGATGATAAAGGGGTTTTGTCTACAGGAAAAAGAGATGGATCATTTATAACTCAGAGAGCAGTTACACAGGATAGAAAGGGAGGAAAGATTACCATATGCCAAAGAATTGGTATGAATCCTTAGACGCTGGTGCTCCAGCTGAATTAGAAATTTTAGCTCCCAATCTCATCTTTGATAAGCAACCAGTAGCCCCTCCAGAATCAGGACTGACAGATCAAAGTGACTATTCATGGAAACTGTTTCAGCACTGGTAGTTGCACCTTTTCTTTTTCTGATTTTTTTGTCCTCCAGAAATTTCCATGTAATTTCTGAACAATTTTGAAATTTCATTTATCATTTTTATGTACTGATTAAATACAAATATTGTGTACTGTTGCCATATAAGACATCACAGAATGAGATTGCAAAAGTATTAATTTTATACTCTGGACACTTTTGTTTCCTCAGGCAAAATTTGAAAAATCTCACTGAAAGATGCAAACAAAACAAAACAAAACAAAATGAGCTGCTTGGAGATTACATAAGCAAAAGTTGGATAAATTTTGCTCTTGCTCATGTATTCTAACATTTCCAGAATACCATTAGGCATTAGAACATAAACCCCAAATTTCATGTTTTCCTTCTCTTGCTCTCTGAAATGCAATGTTTCCCAATGTAAACAAACCCATCAATTTCTCAATAGCGTGTCACATCTTCTGTTATGATGCTGCTTTCTAGTTTGTATCTCTGCAGATCTTGAAGATTTAAAACCTTAACCATCAAAAATGTTGTACAAAGCAGTTAAGAACTTCAAAGCACATGCACAAAAATGTGCAGGTCATGAGAGCAAAGCTATTCCAAGGAATTTATAGGTAAGTCAGCACAAACAGTATGGCCTCAGGAGCAAAACCCAACTTTGATCATGACTTACTGTTTAAAAACAACACCAGTGGAGCAGACTGGTTATGTGCATATTGTTGTGGTCACCATATTCTGGTACAAATTATGTCATACTCTGCATTCAGGTTGAGCCTTTGAAGGAAAACTAGCTAGAGAAACTAACTATACCACTTCAGGGCAAAATCCAGGAATAACTAACAAAACACTTTATCTGGTCCATAGAAAGAAATAATCAGAAACTGTAATAGTGCAGATCTACCCTAAAATCAAGTATTACATTTACTGTTTTTTAAAATTGAGTGAAATTAATAATAAAGTAATGTTTTATTATTAGGCTTCATCTTCTGTGAACTTGCACTTAAAAGTAAGATTTGTAGAGCAGAAAAGCTTCCACTAACAAGGGTTCATTCTTTTTTGGCTGTGCAATTGTGCATCAGCCACCCATGACCTATTAGCCAATTTGAAGTGCAAAATTTTACATTTCCCTTTACCTTTACAACTTGTCCACTGCCAACAATCTGAGCACACTGCAAATCTGACACAGCAGATGAAGGAGTGGACTGGACTGGACTATGCTGTTGGCTGGGTTTCTGTTCAGGTAAACCTGCTGCTTTTCTTCTTTGGGCTGCAATCTGAGACAAAACATTATCTGCACTGCCACCTAGAACAAAAAATAAAATAAACCCAGTAAAGGAAACCATAATTTTGAAATGCTTGCTAACTCTCAAACAATCACTTTCATTTAAAAACTGACTGGATGAAGCATGAGACAATTGCAAGGTTCCGATCTCTCCAATAGCTTCCAGAATAAAGAACAGAAATCAGTAGCAGAAGAGGGAAGCCAGCCCTGTCTGTACACACATAGAGCTGACTTTCATACCCTTGGACATAGTTTTCATAAGCCACTTCTCCATATGGTCTTCAACAACTACCAGGTACAATGTGTGCAGCTTTGATTTAATTGAAAACTATTTTGTATTTCAAACAAAAAGTAAGCAACAGGCATAGGAGTCAGCTCTATAACATGCATGGTGCAATGAGCCAGCATCCACCTGATTCACCATGGGTGGATCCAGTAAAATCTGCATGAGATGGGCTGACCATTGAGACTTCTGTAACAGATGTGAGGCTCTTCCTCCCTTATGTAGGTGTTTGAAGTCAAATCCCGTGTCCACTAAATTTATAGAAGCTTTGTTTCTACAATAGTAGGAGTGCTCAGAAAAGGTTTAGTATCTTCTACCATCATCACAAACACTGATTTTTTTAACTGAATCAGACACAAATTACTTTTTTATTAAAAAAGGTACCTGATCTGTTATGCAGTTCTCCTCCATGCCTGTTAATTCCTGCAATGTTATTGGATCCACCAGAAGAATGAGGAGAATGGCTAAAGTTATTGGAATTTGAAGGAGATGCTGGTCTTCTTGCAAATGTTGGTAATTTGACTGGTCTAGTACCTTTGCTAACAGATGTCTGGAAAACAAAATGAAAAATAATTTGTTCTTTCTTGATTAAGAAAAATAAAGAGCAAACTTCAACTGCTAATTTATTTATCCCAAGTTCTGAAACTTCCACTGAAGAACAAAGGGGATATCAGAAAGAATCTCATTCTACATATACATATATATTGAATATATACTTATATAAATATATATATATATATATATATACTGAATACATTTATTCAATGAAATAAATTACACCACATTAAGCCATTATTTCTTCTTAATCTTTGGCCAACAAAATTGAGCATATATGATGCACCTGAGATATGATATACATAGTATTATGAGCAGTGGGGAAGAAAAAAAATTAACCCATGTGAAATTTCTTTCCTGCAGAATCCTGGCTTTGTCTCTCCTATCTTACAAAACACCCACCACCTTCCCATCCATCATATCTTGGTTTCTTACAAACTAAGCTGCAAGAAGTGATATAAACTTTCTCTCCACCAGCTGCAGTTTTATGCAGCCAGCTGCACCACTTTATTTAGTCTTAGTAAGTGAGGCACTACTGATCTAGCTATACACTACCCTAATCCTCAGCCACATCCTACTTAATTTCTTTTGCTTTTACACCATTGGCCACTTCCAGCCACTTGACATATGAGCTTTTGCAGCTCAGCTTTTTAATGTTTCTTATATCTGTTGCTCAAATAACTTCTTCCATCTCTGACTTCCCTTCTTCTATACCCTCAGCAAGACCCTTCTTTCCTCACAGAAGGACTGATGGCTAGTCCTCCCCTACTTTCCCTGCTCCTCATTTTATGCACATGCCAATTATCCAGTTATGTTATTACAACCATCTTTTTTGGGATTATAAACACTTACCTTCCTGCTAGGTCACTTTCCTTAGTCTGCCTTATTCCACCTAAATCACCTCTACTGGTATTAAGCTAGCATCCACACAAAAAAAGGAAAGAGAAAAAAAATTCCTCCTAAATGTCTAGAACTGACATTGAAACACAGTTATGGACTGGTCTTCTCTACATTTAGCTATTACAGTCTACAGTTAGGGGAGTAAGCACTTCTCCTTTTTCTCCAACTATGAAAGAGAAGACTGTCAAGGTTGTTTCGTTTCCTATCTCAAAACAAACCATCTATTTTTCTCTTAGCTTGCATCTTCACTGAAAACATTGTAGAATCAGGCAAGCTCCTTCTATAAAAAAATAGAAATAATCAAGACTTTTTCTTGATTTTGATTTCTTAGTTTTACAGTACTTCCAGTTTAAAGCTGTGTGCCTTCAAGTTCACTTGATCACTACTTCCTACAATTTTATCTATTGCTAATCTTTCAGAATATTGTGTCTGTATATTGGTCTTACTGATATTTCTTCCCTCCTCCTCAGTTCCTAAAAATTGAGAAATTGTCATTCTTTTTTACTGTATCTGGTCCTTTTTTCAAATCAGAGCAGTTTCTACCACACTGTTGGTGGTTCTGGTTAACAGCAAAACAAAAATACCAAAAAACCAAAACCACAACAAACCAACCAAACAAACCCTCCAACAAAACAAAAAACCAAACAAAATCAATAAACCCCCAAAACCAAACCAAATTAAGAAAGAGTTGTTTCACTTCATATAGAACTTTTGTTTCATTATGTTCCTTCCATATAGATGTGCATTCTTCCTAAGCAGCACTGCTTAAAAGGACAAGCCATTGCTGAAACAATGGGTTAAAAGTAATTTCTAATCAGAAACAGAGTGGCTCACCAGTCAACAAGGCCAGGGCATAATACAGTATTTTCGTACACATTTAGTTTCCTTACTGTATCAGAGTTCCCACTGCTGTTAAAATCATGCTTGATTGCTCTCTGTGGCCAGGCAGTTCTCATCTGTTCAGCTTTGCCATCTTTGCTGAGTCGGGTTCGGTCAGAATTCCAAAGCTCAAAGCTTGAGGGTGGTAAGAAAGGTGGTATCACTGCTTTCAGCTTATCACTGGGCAGCCTGGTAAATGGAGCACTACTCCTCAGCTGAGAAAGGGGAACAGAGGGAGGGGGAGGCGGGGAAGAGTCACTTCTTAAGAAAGGTTACCGCAACCTGGTGATGTAGTTTCAAAATATTAAGTTAAGGAAAAAGATGAAAACACATTTAAACAGAACAGAAATGAGACGCAAAAGTACTATTTGAGGAGAAGTGCACACATAATAACAAGCGAAAAATCAATTAACATTGTGGCACCCGTCAGTATTATGCTTATTCATTTGATTCAATGAATATATGCCATTAAGTGGCAGAAACTGTCTCTTCCTTTACTGGGCTAAATATTACTCAGGTTGACTTTCACAAGAATAACAACCAATTTCCAAAGAAATAACAATGTAGTAGTCCTCTCTGTATTCCCAGACAGGATGACTGGAAACAGTAAGCAACTGCATGTTCCTGCTGTATGTATACTGCAGAAAGAGATAAAAACACAACTGATTTTGCTCCCTGGAGTTCCATCAGTCAGTAATATCAAAAGTTCTTACAAAAGAACTCAAACTTCTTACAAAAGAACATAAAGATAATAACCAGCCAAATTTAATGACATCACCAGAGGGTAAGCTGAAGGGGAATATAAAGCTACAGCATAACAAAAGAAGAAACAGAATAACACAAATACACCTTCCAAACTAAATCTTTCATGGTTTCCTCTACCAGTAATTTCACACCTCCAACTGTACCATGTTCTATTCATGTTTTCCTCACTTCATAGTGCTTGTCAGCAACTAAGCAGCTGTTCCATCTATTTTACTATTTCATTGCTGGTCAAACAAAGGTATGGATAACTGTTGAAAGAGGTCAGTACAGCTTCCATATCACACTACTTTTAGTACTTTCTAGTCTAAGAACTACTGGTATATCAAAGCCTATCAGTTCATGTCTAGTGACTACAAACAAGCTCTTTTTCTAGAAGTAATTTGGACAGGAGCAAAAAACTCTAAAAGTTATGGGAGCTACATGACCCTCTGAATTAGGCTGAAACACCAAGAACACCGCAACATACCATAGTTGTCAATAATTCATCGTCCTTTTCTCCTTTCACAGTGTTTGCACCTGAAAAATACATAATTTATGTTTTGTTGTTTACATGTTTCTAGTTCTGTTTCTAAGGCTAGCTCATTGATTTTAAACAACAGCTTTACCCTCAGTATGAAGGTTTCCAGCGACACTCTCATGCACCTCAGCTAAAGTTAAGCCAAGTCTTACTTTGCATTGCAGACAGTGGCAGATTTTCATGGAGAGATGTACAAATTTCAGTAGATGTGCTTTACAAACTTGGCTCTTCCAATTTCTTTCTTTTCAGAATTATTAATTATTTGCTTAAATAAATTGGTCTTCATTACATAAATTAGTTTATGGAAGATAATAACACTTTTCAGTGACCTGTCTTAATTTAATGTCATTTACTAAAGAACAGTAACATGGTTATATTAGTATTTTCCTGCTTAAATGCTACTGTACTCAGCATGATCAACAAGTATGAACATCTCTCTTTCTACAGACTACAAATACATTTTATTTTTTTTACTTATATTAAGCTAAAGCAGAACTAAACCAATAAATCAGAAATAGTATCATCCTGACTACCCCACAAGAGTTAATTTCCCACAAGACAACTCTGCCTTTACCACTAGCTTTGTTATTTGCGTTCCAAGCTGTAGTAGCATCAAGGTTTCCAGAGATGTCTGTATCATTCTGTGAGGCTACTTTTATAGTGCAATTTAACGATGGTTCAGCCTCATCCGGAAAAGGCACAAACTGATTAGAAGGAAATCCATGGCGCAATGTCTGAGTCAACTTCAGCTTGCGGAATCGATTGGACATCCTGCTCCACCAGGACTAGATTGATAAGAAGACACAACAATTTAGTTCCAACTAAAAGAAAAAAAAGAGGAAAAGAGATGTATAATTAGGCAATCCTTACCAAGGAGTTTTTGAAATAAGCTAAAAAGCAATGTTCAAGTGGTTTGCAATTACCAACAGAATCCTTCAGTGTAATTTGCATGTGTAATAATTATTTTTCACCTGGAAAAAAATTTAAAATGTTTTTCCACAGTATCTGGAAGGCCAAAGTAGACAGAAGTATTAGGGCAATTTGAATAAGGAATTTTTGCAGCTACATAAAAAAAAATTAATTTTCCCATTAGCTTCCAATTTCACCATCAATTTTTACTCTCCCTGGAATCAATGAGTGGCACCTCTATTTTCTGCTTTTTAGAGGTGTGCATATGAGTTTATGTAATGTGTATCAAAGCTTTGCACCAAGATTTTCAAAATCAGTGACAAACTGGAAGAGTTCTGATAGTATTTCTGTCAAACTAAAGATCCACAATCCATACAGTGCTGCTATAAAGATAATTTAACCAGACTGGGAAGATGATAAAGTGAAAAAGAGCAAGGCAAGGAAACAGCAGCTGTGAAAACAACATAAACCTTAGGACTATGTACCTATAACCTCCATCCATACAGATATCACATATGTGGGAACTGTTAAAAGGACTTTGCTCAAAGTAAAATTTATTCAAATATTCACAGACTTGCACATTTTTACAGGCAGATAGTCCAAGTTGCTTCAAGTCTTCAGCAAGATATTTCTCCAGATTATACATAACCTATGCCATTTGCACCAAAAATTATGTAGCTTCTAGGTAAATCAGATTGTAAGTACCTTCTGATTATTTCATAGTAAAGTTTCTCCTTCCCTTTCTGGAACACTTCTTTAAAAAACGAATGTTAAAGTAATATTACAAAAGAACATTACAACTTCATCAGGGCAGCTTTAGTTGATAGCAAATCCAGGTAACCACCCTTCTCACAATACTTACTTTTCCTTCTTCTTGGCATTTAATATTTTTCAACTACTCACTGATATATGTTTTCGCAACTTTCTTATACTTATCCTCTACATATTAATCCTTATAGCAGAAAACTATTAAAAACATTTCAGATCTGTACAGAGCATTAATAATTATACGTATAGAGTTCTCAGACCCCTGTACTTCTTTGGAGTCACAACTAATAAAGATTCCATTACTTTCAGCAACAAAGATCTGATGAAAAAAGGCAAGAGATACAAATAGCTCTGAGAAAGCAATAGAACCCACAGTTCAGCATTTATTCACCTTCCAAAAGGAACTGGAAGTTCATCTAGTTTTAACACAGAGTACAATGAGCTGACAAAAGAGAGTACTTGCACTTCTTGGTTTTGGTCACTGAAGCTACCTTGCTTCTGTAAGAAAGATCATTTCTAATTGCCCATCATCTCTGTTACTCCTACTCACAGTGCTTCTGCTCCCTGAATATACACTCACACCACAAACTACCCCAAAATGGAGTAAATACAGCCACTATGTTACCAGACAAAAAAAACACTGCCCTCTGACAAGAAAGTAATGACACTGGAGAGGTTCATCTTGTCTTCTGATGTTCACAGTATGATGGTCTGATCTCTGGAGTTTAGTTTGGTGTTGTAGGAGTTTGCAGCTTCTCCATATACCCCTACCACGTCACACGTGTACAGAAGCTGTAATAAAGGGCTTTAAATAGGCTGCGGCATTCAAGTAACAAAAATTCATTTCTACTTAAAAGTCGTGTCTATAAAAAGGCTGAAATCTAGCAGCAGTGGGAGAAGCTAACAGTATCAAAGAACTAGAAAAGTGGTGTTGCCATTTCAGAAATGTCTACAATTTAGACATTTGTAGCAATGTTAGGAACAAAAGAGTAAGGGGGAGAACTAGAAATATCTGCCCTCAAAAAATTTTGATCTAAAATAGAAAACTGAATGTGGTAATTCACACTGCTCTAATACTGACATTGAGAGTGTAACTTGCTGAAGAAGAACAGGCAGGAAGAAAAAAACTGGAAATAAACTTTTTGCATATGGAAAAGGGAAAACTTTGGTTTTGAGGGTGTTGGGAGGAAAGGGGTAAAATCAAATAGGAGGAGAGAAGGGCTCCTGCTCAAAGTGACCTTTCAGCTGGGAATGCTAAAAATGTAGGTGTGGAAAATTTCATTTATTATGCCTAGTGTTGTTCATCATCTGCTTGATGGGAGAAGTAGAATTCCTTCGTAGAGGTAACACACTCTCACAGCCACACCCAAAGCCTTTAGTTATGGATGAAGTAAGCATACTGGAGCCTCGATCCCTGTGTGTCTCTGGCACCCAGCCTTGTCGTTGAGGCAACAAAATAAATATTGCATTTCAGCTGTGGCTTCATGGTTGCCTTAGTTACCCACCTATGTTGATTCACAGAGGCCATAAAATGGTAAGAAACAAATCAGTTAACAGTTCTTTTGTGGTAGAAGTGAAGAATCAGATCATGAATATCCACTATGTTATCAGCAGATAAAGGAATGGGCCAGTACTGCGCACAAATTAAAAGTAAAATAAACACATCACCAAATAAAAGGCCTATTAGTTAATGACAAAAGTGATCACAGAAGAGGTGAGACTGAGGAGCATTTGTTTATTTTTAAACTTCATAAGCAGCCTACCTTAATCGGGTATTTTAGTATGAGTACCATTAACAGGAAGAAGGCAGGAATATATGTGCATTTGCTTAAGAGAGCAAGGGTATTTAAATGAGCTTACACAAATTAGAACCAGACAATATTGATTAAAATTACCCCAGGTCAATTATAGGCAACATGATCTCTGAATAAATATTGATTATCTTCACTAAAAAGTATGGAAGAAGTTACAGAAATCAGGCAAAAGGCAAATATACAATCACTGAAAAGAGAAAATCTGAAAATTTACTGATCAAAATGCTTACCATGAAAAGGCATAAAAAACCTTCGTATGTCATCACAGCTCATAAGACACAGCCAGCATAGGTTTGTTGAAAATAAACTCTACCAAATGAATCTCTTTTCGACAAGAGTTACCAGTCAAGTGAGCAAAAGGGAGGAAAAGTTGGAATGCAGCTTGAGTTTATTAAATTTTTTATTGCTATTGCATGTAGCATTCACCACACAATTGAGAAAAATATGGTTCAAGTAAAATTAATAAAGGGAAAAGACCACAGCCAAAGAATGAGACAAATTGTGAATCATTTGATCTCAAATTGGGAGAACATACTTTGTGCAATAGGTTTGGGAATGTTCACTAACAGCTGCAACAATAAAACACAACATATTTTTCTGCAGTCTATGGAAGACATCCATCTAGAAAGTTTTGTAAGCACCTTTAACACTCTAAATTTAAACACTGCCAAACTAACATTTTCCAGTAGAGGTCAAGCTGGCATGCAAGAAAAAATCAAGTGTACTAATGTAGGAAAAAAAGCAAGGAACAAAGCAGGTGTACTAAAGAAAGAAATCAGTCACAACATAGCAGAAACTAAGTACAGATGCACAGTGTTACTGCTGCTGAACAAAAAAAAAAGTGAATTTCACTGGTAACAGGAAACACAACTGTGACATAGTTTTTGTATGTGACTAAGTGATACTGTGACCCTGGTCAGAATCTCACCACTCATTTTAGAATCCTCATCTTGACAGGTAACATACAAACTAGAAATAGTCAAAAGTTTAGGAATCAAAACATACAGACAAGGAAATTTGCATTAATTAATTTTGTTTAGACTAGAAAAAAATACTAAATATGATAATTCTCTAAGTATTTATACAGTTCTTATAAAAATGAAGGTGACCACTGAACAAGACTCAATCAATTTAATGGGCAACAAAAGAAAAAAATTCAGGGTGAAAAAAAGCATCAAGCAGTGGAATTGAATGCTGATGGAGAAACATGGGATCAGGGGCTCTTCTTCACCACAGTGAAAGAAGAATGAACTGAACATCTTTCAAAGATGTTCTTGGCATATTTATTCTGTCTCCTGATGTAAAAGTGAGCCTCATTAATTCCCTCTCACTTTTACATTACCATGATCCTGCAGACCCCACACTCAGTCCGTACTGATTTAGACAAAAAAAATGCTGTGCTGGCCAAGTTCCCATAAGTGTCTTTTGTTTACAGTTCCAGCTCACCACAGAGCAGTCGTCCACACAGAAACACTGTTGCTACTAACCCCAGGAGAGGTCCCCTCACCACAGCCCTCTCTTCACATGCTGGCCCAAAGAGATGTGACTGTTATGACATTGCCCTCCAGCCAGAAAATCTGAAAATATCATTTTTACTCTTTTTGAGCATTTGTAAGAAGAGTAAGATAAATAAGATATTCATGGTCAGACAGGCTAATTAGTAAAGCATTAAGAAGTGATGGAAGAATGGATTACATAGGCTTAAAGGTTATATTTTTTTATAGAACTATACAAAATACAATTTCTGCAAAAAAAAAGTTTTATTACAACTAGCAAACATTGTAATATTCTGTAGCTTTGAGGCCAAATACTTAAATATTCCAGAATATTAAATTTGTATCAATAATTGAGTCTATATCCTTATCACTGGCAAATCTTTTTTTTTTTCACCTAACAATCTTTTATGACCATAATTCAAGCCTTTTTGTCATAACACTGCAAGGGCTGCAATCCAATCCATTGTTCATCTATATTCCATAAAGCTCAAAAGCTATTCTGACAATTTCCCATCTAAATAAAATAGGTCCATTTAAATTGATAAGAAAGTTGTATCATATTGAATAATAGCATAATCATATGAAAACAACCACATGTTCCTTCATAGTTAAAACTGCAAAACAGATCTGAGCTGAAGCATAAATTTAATATTCATGTCTTTAATATTCATGTCAAAAATAGCCTGAAAATTAACATGACTTTTTTTAAGATCCTGGTAATATTCATACTTAAGGGACAACATCATGGACTCCAGGAAATTCTGAGGTACACCATACATACACCATAATTAAAGATTATTCACCTAAAAAAACTGATGCCTGGAAATAGGCAACAACAACAAAACTAACTCTTTTCCCTTCTCTTTTGCAAACAGTCAGTGAAAGCTGCGGTATCTTTGTTTAGTTGGCATACATTTATTCTAACTCCATGTTGTTTCCTACCAGACCACCATCAGTTCTGAGTTAAGGATACAGCATGCCAGATGACATGTAAGCCTGAAGCGCACACTCCTCCACAATTCTTCATATGAAAATCTCTGCTATGATCTTTTTCATTTTCAATGTCAACAGCCTGCTACCATTTATGACGGTGAAAGAATCTACCCTCTGTCCAGATTTAAAAGCAAGATCATAATGGAAACTGAGTTCCAAATTTATGAACATGGTACCTTCCGCTTAATCATGAGATCTATTTCTAAGCACTGAAATGCTTCAATGTAAACTCTTCCCACTGCTTTGCCACCTGACAAAAGGAAGTTGAATACATGCTACGCCTCACAAAACCAGAACACACTGTCAACAAGGAATTCAGAAACACACACAGCTCCCCAGCAAACCCAGTTACATATTAGATCCAAAACACTTCTTAGCAATTGTTTTTTCTGCTTATACATTACAGGAATTAATGAGTTTTATCAAGAATGAATATATTTACCTTTAGGCCTCCTTTGTCATCTGGCAACATTGGGACATTTAAGGATTGCCTACTTCTGGAACAAGGCAGAGATGATCTGTTGTTGAGTTTATTCTTATCTTTATCTACTTGCATGCATGCTGATGCCAGTAACCTTACAAGCTCTGTATCTAAAAGGAAGCAAATTAAGATAATGTTTGGCCTGTTTTGCTTTCCCAAATTATAACTGATGCACTGACATTTTCCCTGTAAATCCCATAAAAGTAGCAATTGATCTACCTCTCAAACATAAAGCAGATGACCCCCCAAACGTTCTTTCTTTCTTGACCTATTTTCCCATGTCTTCCCCCCGCAATTTGGGCTGCAGTCTTATCATCTCTCTAAAGTTATTTTACAATATAAATAAGCATGCTACTGGAATCAGCCATGTGTGACCAAGTGAACTGCCTCCTCTTGCACTTTGTACAAGTCAAGAACAATATTGAGATGTTCCCTTTTCTCACCTGGCACAGAAGACAGCAGAGAAAAATAAATATTCTTTCTTCAAGCACAGGTTCCAGAAAAGAAGTTTGAAAGTAAATCCCAAAGAGAAAGAAGATGTTCAGCCTGGACAATGAAGGGACTGAAAAGAAATGGTAAGAAAAAGATGGACAAAAAAGAAGTAAGAAGAGGATGAAAAAAGAACAAGCATGACAGGAGACAGGAAAGCAAAAAAAAAAACATCTGTATATCTACATTTTGTACAAGGCAGGATTTTCAGAAAGGCAGAGAGAACTGAACGAGAGAGAAAGAAGTAGCAAGACAAACTATTCTGTCACAAAAGTTACTTTTAAAACAATTCTCTGTATTTATTGTCTAAAATGTTGTAAAATTAGTGATCTACTTTTGACACAGAAAACAATCTGCTAGTAACCAAGACCACAATAATGTGTAAATTCAGAGACTTCATTAACAGTAATGGGTTTTGGCTTCCTATAAATCAATTCAGGTACCAAGGAAGGTTAACAACAACAAATTATATATGTAAAACAGATTGCAATAAAACCTAAATGTGTTTCATTCAAGCCCCCCCAAAGCATGCTGCCTTGTCCTACAGCACTAACAACCTGAACCATGAGGTGTGATTTATTCTCAGCCTTTACAGGTTAGGCTGGGGGTTCAGTCAAAAGTTCCCTACTTCTGTTCCTCTTTGTCCTGTCTCTTTGCTGCTCTTTTCAAAGGGGCAATTTCTAGTTCCAGCTCATAGCTCTGTGCTAATGACACTACAGAATACCAGTGCCCCCACAATCCAAAGCCACTCAGCTGGCTCTAGTGACACAAACACCACAGTTTTCAAGCATCTTCAGAACCAAAAGCAAGAGGAACGCACAAAATCTGCTATCCCATAAACGTATACGCTCATCTGACCAATTAAACCCCACCACTTTCAGTGTCTTTTCTTGGTCCAGTCTGGCCTAGACATGAGGATACTTCCTAGCAACTGCAACATATTTTCTAGATTGGAAGGAATGTGTATTTGTTTATATTGTACATTTCTCCACAGCATTTTGAAATAGCATACCTGGATCATTCAGCAGCATTATCAGGTCAAAAGCTGTGTATCCATTTTTTGCACGAAGGTTAACATCAGCTCCTTGATTTAACAAATACTTTACAACATTTTTGTTCCTTTAAGGGAAATAAAAAAGGCATTGATCACATTAAAGACCATGTAAATGAAGAAAGAAACCCCCAATACTCCATTTGCAACCTTTTATAACTCTGTTTCTCAATCAGAGGTCAGTTTTACACATCTTACACCTAACTTATTGTAAAATTTGTTCACAAGCTCTTCAAAAGCTCCCACAAGTCCTTTGTCAGTCACATTTACTCAGAATGAATTACATTAATCAACATGCAAAAGGTTAGCTTAAAAGCCTAATCTGAATACTCAGCTTCCTAAGCTGATCCTTTGGAAGTGACTGCAATATGCTGTTAAACACCTTTCCAATGAAATTAATGCCTAGGGCAGAAAAGCAGATGGAATGACAAAGGGCATTTCAGTAGTCATCATATGCCATCACTAATACTTCAATGCAACCTCATTTTCACAACTTGCACATTAAAAAATTGCATATAGAAAAGCCAAATTGACTGAAGATAACTTATAAACTTCAAACAGTACTTCACCTAATTACAGCTATGAATTTTATAATTAAGAAGGCACTTTATCACTTCCCTGAGGAGTTTAAAATGCAAAACCAATCAGCATTAAATGTCAAACACAAACACCTCCAACAAAAGCTCCTCAAAGCTAGCTGCATAAAAGACACTCACCATCCTGTCCAGTTAGCCCCTTTCCCCTCTGATACACCTGACTAAATAAGAGGACTTGCCTTGTGAGTTAAAAACAATACTTCAATTCAGCCTATGAAATAACTGAACAGACAACAAAGCTAGGGAAAATATATTTAATATTAAAACTCTTAAACAGTGACTGACCTTGTATAAAATCAAATTCTGACATGCATCAGCAACACAGAGAAAAAACATTCTCAAGCACCAACAGGTAACTGCAAATTCTAATAATGAAGCTGAAAAATGCATCTCAACATCTCCACTTCAGAGCACCATTTCTTTTCAGATGACATTTCCACTCCTGAACTCACTCCATACAAAATCAACCTGAAATGGAGGACGATTGTTACTCCTCTCTTCTAACAAAAATTCTGCTTATCCTCACCAAAGCTTCTCTTGATACTCCCTATTACTTTCCTACTCTTCTTTAAAACTATCATCCCTCCATCCTGCTTTCCAGTCCTGCACCTTGAAGCACACAGAGACAATTTTTTTAGTGGCTCAGAGAGACCTTGCCTGCTCCCTCCTTCAAGCCTGAGACCCTTCACACTACTGGTGGTCCTGAGGCTGAGGCTCTGTGGAGCCTAAAGTTTTCCAGATGTTATGAAAATTTGCAACTTTCCATGCTAAGAAAAAGGCTTAGATGCAAAGTATAGAATTACAAGGATAAGTGTTTATTTATGCACATGAGGTATTCCACCCTCACTGGGGCACTGCAAATGTGGCTTTGCACACAGGGCTCTTGTACACTTCAAGTGTACTACCTTAATTCATACTATGATTGCTCATCATAGTAAAACTTAGCACAGCAACTGTATTCCTGCAGCATTCATGCTGCTCTTGTATTGATCCAGATGTCCCTGGAGTCAGCCTTGTTGTCATTACTTACCTATGATACCAGACAACGCTGAGAGAGTTTCATAGATGGCTGTGATGCTGGGATTATCTTGAGTTAGGAATAGCCTTTATCCTTCACGTATAGCTCTAAGTTCCCAAGAAGTCACACCCTTATTTCCAAAACTGGGGTGTCCTTCTGGTATTTTTACTGAGCCAGTGTCCATTAGACAGCTTTACTTAAGCATGAACAATACCAAAGACGCCTAAAATTCCACTACCTCAGATGTTAAGCATAGTTAACAAAATTAAATAACAAAGTTTTATATTATGAAGATTGACTGATACATTACAGAAAGGAAGTTTCATAACCCAGTCATCCAGAAAACTGAACAGCCAGTGTCTGAACACATGCAGGACTCAGCTTGGTGTGTGCTTCCACAAACAAGTATCTGAGTACTAGTAAGAGGACATGCCAGCAACCCTGCCCATCACTTTGTGCTGGCTGCTTCTATTCCAGCTGTGTGCTGTCTGACAGCTGCACCAGAAAATCTGATCTTAAGTGCACTTCTGTGGAATGTCTGTCACCACTATCAATAAAGGTCCCAAGAACTACTTCAGAAAAGTTTCACAAAGCAATGACAACTTGACCTGCTATTTTTTCTCTTTGTTGCACATATATAGTCCAATGAGATCTGTTGACTAAAAACAAAATCTGGTGCAGAATACCTGCGTTTAGACAATTAATGCACTACCACTAAAGAGAACCTTCACCTTGCTGAGGGCCTTATTGCCAACGATGAAGAAAAGTTCCTAAACTGAACAGCCTGTATTCAAGCAGTGTTAAGTATATGATGGATATCACACGTGAAGTACCAACCAGGGCAATTTCTGAGGTTTGACTCCTAAGCATCTAGTTAGATTTACAAAGGAGCTTTATAGAAAATGACAATTATTTTGGCTGCACTTCCAAAAACTCCATGAAAACTAAAGGCTGAATAGGAGAACATAGGAATTGTTTTATGACTGGAAAATGTGGCACATGGAAGGCTGATTGCCTTGAAGTGTCACAACTTCACGTAGGCTTAGGGTTGATAGAATCTTTCACAATACTGAAAAACATCAAAGGATGGAAGCTGAAATCTGCACCAAGACTCCTGGGGACTGCCTGGAGCACTACATTCCCAGTACTTACTGAGCTTGTTTCAGGTTCCCAAATGCTTTACACATTCTAAAGTCCAAATATCACACAAGGACTGTTGAATCCAGCTTCTGGCCCTGCACAGCACCATCCCCAAGAGTCATACCATGTCTCTGAGTGCTTTGTTCCAACAATCCTTGATCTCTGTCAGGCCTTTGCTGTGACCACTTCCCTGGGAGCTCTTTCCACTGCCCAACTACTTTCTGAGCGAAAAACCTTTTCCTAATATCCAACCTAAACCTCACCTTGACAGTTGTGGCCATCTCCTTAGGTCCTGCCACTGATCACCACAGAGAAGAGATCAGTGCCTGTCCCTCCTCTTCTCCTTAAGAGGAAGTTGTAGACTGCAATGAGGTCTCCTTTCAGACTCTTCTCCACCAAGCTGAACAGGCCACTCCTCACACAGCTTCCCCTCAAGGCCCTCCACCATCTGTGTTGCCCTCCTTTGGACATTCTATAATAGTTTAATGCCTTTCTTATACTGTGGTGATCAAAATGTGATTCAGATCTTCTCCAGAAAACCGAGGGCAGTGCAAGAGTTATAAGAAACTGAGGGCACAAGTCTATTTCTTGACCGCTCTGCTTCTAGAGTCAGTATCAAAAAGGATTTTTTTCTATTGGGACGTAAGAAAAATTAAAATTCTTTACTGCTAGACACAAAGAGAGCACATATCTTACCCATGGTATGTGGCCTGCATTAGTGCTGTCCAGCCATGAACATTATCCTGCTTATCAATATCAGCCTTTTTCTCAACAAGGAGCTGAACAAAGGGCAGCTGTCCAGTGACAGCTGCAATCATTAAAGGAGATGCACCATCAACATTGGTAATATTAACCTGACTCAGATCTTCATCAATGATCTCTTTAACCAGCTGAAAGTTTCCTGTAAAACAGTGATAAAACATAACCTAAATGTTAGTTAATTAGTACATCTTTCCAGCATACATAAAATTGCATGAGGCACTGTATTTTCCTCATTTCCTCTACCTGTACACTTACAGTGCAATACCATTACAAGAATTATTTTCTGAAATGATTGACTAAGGAAGGCTGTATAAACTGCAGTGCATCCTGCATGTGAAGACACAAATAGGGAATATTTTGATTAAACTGCCGTAAGATGATGTCATGCAAGGAAAATTGATGATGCTCAGGCACCATGATTTTTCCTTCAAAGATCCCTGTTCCGTTTCCACAGGCTCAATCACAGAATCAATGATTTTAGAATCAAAGTAGGTGGGTACAAAGGCACTCTGAAAGGTGGTGGAGGTCATACCTTGCCTTAAACAGGTAGAATAATGCCCCATCTCACACTGACCGATAAGTTCCTCTTACAAAGACAGTGCACTGATCCTAAAAACCTTTACTAATAGAATTCCACAAGCTCCCAAGGAGTTTATTCCAGCACTTGACTTTCTTATATTCCAAATGATTTTTCTTTCTGCCTCCAGTATTCGAACTACACCTCCAATGCAAAACTTCCCTACTCCTTGCTCAAGAGTAAAGTCATTTGTCATCATTAGTCATCTTTACAGTTCTTTAAAAGTTAATCTAATGTTCAGGTTTCCACATAAAGGAGCTGGTAGTCACTTGAGTTCTTGCCTACATTATGAAAGGGAGTATGAAATATGCAAATGAGCATATTTGAACAAGGTTGTGAGTTTTTTTCTAAATCTTCAAGTAAGACCGCTTTTAAAAAACATATGAGGTAGTCAGGATTACCTTAAACAGAAAGCTTAAACTCACCTATGTCCCGTATTTTTTTTTAATATCCTATAGCAGGCAAAAGCAGGGAAGAAGATAAAGGAAATAAAAATCTCTGACTGTGTGTACCACCACAGGAACAGGCAAGAACACGTAAATCATCAACTGCCGTGCAAAATGGAAACATTTTCACCTTTAAAAAAACCCTTCAATTGGTAACTGCTTCATGGCATAAGCTGCTTTCAAGTCAATCACAGGCATGAACATTTTCCTTGGAAAGTCGGTCAGAATCCCAAACCCTGCATACACTTGAATGCACTTACTGAAACTCACACCCACCAATGCCACTCAGCTAATTTCTTGGAACAGGAATGACAGAAAAGCACAGAATTACTTTTCTTATGTTCCCATTTGGTAAAAGACAGCAGGTGGCTTTTTTAACACAGACCCAGAGCACAAACTTTGTTAAACAGAAACCCTGGAACCTACAGAGACACCAGAATTTACTTTGAACTCTGGATACTGCTTAACCTAATAGCTGCTTTTTTAACAGTGTTGCCATCCATACCCAAGTAAAAAAGCCAAAACTCAGTGTGCTGACCAGTACTCATTTGGCCCCTCCTATGATACTTCTTCTGACCCAGCACTAACATCTCTAAATTTCAGAAATCACAGGGGTACAAGAAGAGCACATGATCACTCTAAAAATCTAACAGTCTTGAGGCTTTCCCGGGAAGATGTTTTGATAGCTCAGATTTGAAGAGTGGGAACAGAAAAATCATGTTTCCCGTGCTAGCAAACAGACATGCTCTGAAGTGAGAAAAACTAGACAGGGTGGAAGAATCACGGCAGTACTTACCGAGTTTCAAAGCATGAAAGACATCAGGTTGCCTCTTTTCTGCATCTGAAAGAAATACAAACATTTCTATTAGCAATCCAAAAAAAGCAAAAATCTCTAGTAGAAGTTTTATACAAAAAACTATTAAAATTTAAAGTACTATAAAGCATATGTTCAGGTATACATTTAATAAGAACAAAGAAAGTATTGACAACTTCTGTATTACCTTGGGGAAGAATGAGTCACCAGTATAGTTCTCTGAGCAGTGCTAAAACTAGAAACTATAATAAAGCATCCGCACAAATTTTCAATTTCCATTCTCCGTCAAGAAATTGTATTTGGGAACTCATTTTTTTCCTGCCTGGAAGTCTAAAATATCCACTAAAAAATTACAGTATGGTTCTGGTCTGGTAAAATCCCCTGTAGAACAGTGAACAACTCAAATTGTATGGGATTATTTTGAAAGGTGACTCAAAAGGAGTTTTACAAGCTGCTCCAGTTTTACTTCCTCTTGAGTATTTCCAGATTAATTTGTAAAAGTCACAAAAATAATAGTGTCAATTTAACTATACAGCTTGCTACTTGTGAATTAATATTCTTCAGCTCGCAGATAACCATCCCCACAATAAGAACTGTAATTATTACAAATTTTAATATTTTGAGTGAAGAATCATTCTTTTAACATGATTTAACAGTGCTTTGAAGCTTCTGACACTATATAAGATGAGGAAAAAATAGTGACATATTTTTCAGCTTCCACTCATGCCAGAAAATACCGTCCTCTATCTTCCAAATTACTATGGGCAAATTGTTACTACAGAATCAATGGGGTAACAAAATTTTATGGAAAACAAGGAGATGCTGAGAGATTTCATGAGCACTATTCTGGCATTTTTATGAAATACAGAAAAAGTCACAGCTTTACTCCAAAGGAAGTCACCTTTATATGCTGAACAAAAGCAATTGCTGAAAAGCCAAAATACTCCAAGAAACTCTTGGAGTTTCTCTTATTTTAAGACCTAGAGAGTGATGGGTCCTACATTTTCTCCTGATTCAGAAACTGCTCTTATAGAAGGAACTGTGTGTATGATCTCACCACTGTATAGGAGATTTCAAAAGACTCATTTAGAAAGGACCAGGCTCCATTCTTGCCATATGAAAACCCTGGAAGAGAGGCAGCTTCACAGAGCAGGAGACCATGAGAAGATGCCAGAAGGAAAGACTGCAATCTGGGTAAGCTTTAGTAAGGACAGGGACAGAAGGCAGGTAATACTCAAGCCATTCCAGGTAGTGAATTTGCTGAGAACAACTGTGGTAAGGGAGCTGCTTTCTCCTAGGAGGCAATTCACCCTATCTATGGCAATGGATCAGAAGAAAAGCTCCATTTTTCCTATCTTCCATATGGCAGAAATTATTTTCTTCTTCACAGGATATTCAAGATTCCAGCGCTAGGAGGAGACTGAAGTATGGTCAAAAAACAATGCAGAAATGTGGAAGAATAATGTTTATACTCCACTCTCTGCCCAAATGAGTTACTACCCTCCTGCTGATGAAAATTCCCCCTCAGCAGACGTGGCAAACATCAATCTTCTTGAAAGCAAGTCCAGTCTCATCACTTAAACAGAATCCTTCAATATTGTAAGTTGTATGACCACAGAAGGTTTTCAAGATTCATGAGCCCAACTCTGCCTGCACAAACATCCTGTACATGCAAACGCGTGGACACTAGTGATTTCCATGGATCTCTGATTCTGTGTACTGTAACCAAATGATGTCTGTTCCTCAAGAGACTGGTTGTGAGCAAACGTCTACAATGAATCAGTTCTGCCTCGTAGCATGGCTGTATGAAAGCTCTAGAATTCCAACTTAACCTGTAAGTGAGTTAACACCTCTACAGCAGAAACAGATGTCTGATTTTTGTTCTTACTTCTTCAAGTACAAGGGAAGCTTGCCCTGCAGGAATGACACCAAATGTAGACAACAGTTTTGGACATGTCCATATGGCAGTGGAAAATGATCTTTCTAGAGCTAGTCAATACTTATGTTTTACAGCAAGCAGTACAAAGCTGGAAAATCCAAACCCTCTTGTTCTGCACTTCCCAGTGCTGGTTTGCATAAATATCTTGAAAAATGTCCCCAAAACAGGCATATACAGACATCTTATCCTGCTAACATGAAAAAAATCTGCTGAAGTTGGGCACTCGTACCTCAGCTGAAGTAGGTGCGCCTACTCCAACATTTTCAAAATCCAGCTGCAAACTACAAAGAACATCATGCCCATACAAAATAAGCTCCTCCATTTCTAAAGTGAAACAAAAAAATAACATTCCATACCTGCTTGAGGCCTAATGGTTGTGAGAGATTCCAAATAGTCCTTCATGTCTTTGTGTTTGAAGCCAACAGAGATTTCTAAAGGTGTTTTATGTAGTACATTCAAGTGATCAGGATTGGCACCTTTCTCCATGAGCTGCTGTGCCAAGCTCACCTTTCCACTGCCAGCTGCCAGCATTAAAGGACTCCAGCCCACTGTCTTTAGAGTGTAGTTACAATCAGCTCCCCAGTCTAGCAACAGATGTACCACTGCCTCATGTCCATGCTGAGCAGCTGCCATCAGCGGAGTGATATCAGGAAGGTCATCTCTGCTGCTGTTAAGTACATTTGTGCTAAAATGGTCATAATTGTCCACAAAAGCTCCGGATTCCAGCAACAGTTTCACCATGCTGATATGACCGCCTCTGGAGGCCATTGTGAGAACACTGGCCCCTAACTTGTTCTGTGCATTGAGATCAGCACCATTCTCCAGCAAGATGTGGGCCACGCTTAGATGTCCAAACCTTGGGAGAAAGAGATACAGAGGAGAATTAACACCTTGGATTGCAAAATCCAACATACTCTGAACCTAGGAAACTTTGTTACCAACTTTGCCTATTGACTAATATGCACACTGTGAGGGATCACACAAACATCTCTGAATGTGACAATGGGCACCTTGCTGGAGAAGACCAGTCATCAGCTAAGGACTATAAACTAAACCATTCCACATGCACCAGTGACCATGTTCATAAAGCAGGCACCTACTGAAGAGGATGGTCTGCTCAAAGCAGAAAAGTGCCAGCCTCATTTTCTGCTGCAGGGCATAACTCATAACTTCCACAAACCAGAGTGTCATTTTCATCCTCTTATTTCCACAGCTGTATCACATTAGCAGATCAAAGCCAGTTTGTTTCCAAGGATCTTTATTAAGTATCCTCATTGCTATTGAACAACTGGAGTAAAAACTGCAAAGAGTCAGTGCTAACTAAGGAAGAAAAAGACTATTTTATCAACTGGAGAGTCGGTCTTTTATATTTGCATTATCCCTTGTTTTCCAGCTGTGAGCTATCAATGAACTCCCACAATGGAAGAAGACTCAGTGAATACAGACGTACCCAGGAAGCTCAGAGAAGAACGTGGTGAGTGGCCATCACTGTGGTAAAGTTAGCTGAACTTCCCTCAACACCAAGGGGACCAGAGGGGATCTTTAAGAGAAATGGCTTACCAACAGAGTGGGACAACTGGCCATGTGAAAGGCCTTCCCTAAAACAATCAATGAAAATTATTCTGCTCCTCAGTCAGACAGACCAGCATGGGGGAAGCATCTACACAGTTCAGATGAACACTGAGCACCAAAACTGAGGAACTAGAAAATAAATTTTAAGAAAGTAAGGTGCTTGACTTAGCTTCCAGCCACATATTGCTTCCCGATAACAGGAGACACCCAGTGCACAAGTTGACACAAGCAGGAAGCCAGAACAACCACAAACTCACTCAGATAGAAGGCAAAGAGTAAATTTATTTGTTACCTCGTGAACCTGGGGATCCCCAAAGCAACACACAGGCAGAGATACCGAAGTAGCCAAGCAAGTACTATTACTAGTTAGTGCTAAAGAACCACTGGATTGCAGTTCATACAATGCTTATCTAGAATTACTCCTGGCTGCAAGGTCACTAAAGTGATTTACAATCCTTCTCAACAGTCTTGTGGTTTTTAACCCATTCCTTCCAGCATTGTGAAGATGAGCATATAGGGAACGGTAATGGGTGTGCCATGATGTGATTGACTATCTGTTGCAGTTGTTATGTCAGGCTTGCGCTATGATTTCAAGAGACTGCTGTATTACAAGGTTAAATTAAAACCCTGTGTAATGTTAAGTATCTTCCAATATGGAAATTTGGCACCAAACCCTCCTTGTGTGGAATATCTACAAGAACCTGGTCAGAGTACTGAACACTGACACCAGTTTTACCTAGTTTTGAAATCACTTGACTATCAGAGGCTCTGCTAGTTTGTCAGTAAGAAAAAGGCAATCATGTAAGCCACACACCCAACCAGCCAGATTATCAGTGAAAAAATGGCAACCTGTATTTTAATGAATATAATACTTTGACAAGATGTGTGTGTCATGCTCTTGTTGCAGGCATCGTGCACTACTACATGCTCATGCACATTGTGCCTAGCACAAGCCAACTTTTGACCCTGAACGCAGCCTTTGTATATTACAACAAAGCAAACGTTAGTTCAGGAAACCCCAAAGAATGCTACCAAACACAAGCCCCAGAGTCCTTAGTTTCCTTCCAGAAAGTACACAGTTGCAGAAGGAAGCCTCTGGAGCCTGTGTTCTGTACCCTTCACTCCATCACTTCAGTAGAGCCTACAACCCCTGCACACAGTTAATTTTATGTATACATGCTACCTCCTGTCCAACTGCAATAGGGCTAATCACAGCCAGAAAATTAAACAGCTACCTAAGTCTGAAGCCTACTTTTGCACAAACACTGGGCTTCCTTTCTGGTTATCCATCAAAAAGAAAAGAGAAACATGCTTTTCTACTTTATGCTTCCCAATAATAAATGCATATATATACAACAATATATACAGTACTTTTCAAATGTGAGTCAGTAATTTCTTGATATCAGCAAGAGGGTTATAGTCATCTGACTTTATTGTTTTTAGGAAATTAGCATATGGTTTTCATTAAGGGGGAAAAAAAATCTAAAACTATTTCTACAATTTTTTTCCTTTTTTTTTAAACCTTCATAAAATAACCAAATTGTTGAACCTTGTCTTCCTTGTTCTTTCTGGGAAACCAGCTGTGTGACTCATCCTTTGGGAACTTTCTATGGCCATTAATTGAAAAGAGAAATATTGACTTTAAAACAGATTATTTTCTTCCAAATATTTTAATGTTATGGAAAAAACAAAAACAACAACAACAAAATGGAAAAATAAAACAAAACCAAAGCAGAGCAACAAAAAAAAAGTTATTCTCCTGATTAAGCATTCAGTTATTATAGGACAGCAATGCTCTCCAACCCCACAAAACACGCCTGTGAGCTCAAGGTGTGCCTAGGAATGAAGACAAAGTACCAACACCAGCATCAGCAACACGGGAACCTCCCACGGCCCAGCAGTGGGTTATGAAAGGACAGTGTCACTGATGCAGAAAACAACCGGTTTGTCATTAAAACCCCTCAGTAATGATTTTCCCTATCCTCCAGCAAGCCACCTAGGCTAACATGGGCCAGCCAAGTGAAATTGTTTCAGTTTGCTTCAGTACGTTTTACGTCAGACGTAGTTTTCAACAAGAAAGAAAGACACATACAGACGGAAAAAAAAATTTAGAAAATTAATTAAGGCTGCGTGCATATAGCTAATGTCACAGAGGAGAGCAGTGTTTCGTGTTCACCTTAGCTTCAATTTTGCGCCGGCTTAACCAAGGAATAGTAAACACCACTTTCTTAACACGAATAGTTTCCAGCGCCGCAGGATAGCACTTAGCCAGTTCTACACTGGCCAGCCCCTCCTCACCCCAGCCCAAGGACGGAACGAGTGACCTCTCCGCTCCCCCGGGACAGCTCCGGGCTCCACAACCCACCGCCGCCTCCAACATGGCGCCCGCCCCTCTCCCCCGCCGAGCCGCCCGGAGCTCCCCGGCGCCCTCCCCCAGCCCGGGGACCGCGGTCCGCAGGGCGAGGGAGCCGAGCGCCCGCGGCTGCCCGGGGGCGGGGAAGGCAGAGCCCCGGCGGCCCTCCCTCCCATCCCCGCCCCGGGGCTGCCGCCGACTAGGCCGACGCTGGGGTGGCGGTCGCAGACCCCGTCGGGCCCGATCCCTCCCTCCCTCTCCCCCGTACCTGGCCGCTTGCATGAGGGGGCTCCACCCGTAGTGGTTCCTGCTCTGCACCGAGGCGCCCTTCCGCAGCAGGAACCGCACCAGCTGCTCGTGGCCTCCCGCCGCGGCGAACTGCAGCCCCGTGTTGCCGGCCTCGTCCGTGCAGTCCACGGGCACGGCGGGGCTCGGCGGGGACGACGCTTCGCCGCGGGGCTCCGCCGCCGTCTCCTCGGCGCCGCACGAGGAGGAGGAGGGGGCCGCCGGGTCGGCGGGACCGCCGCCGCCGGGCAGCCCCAGGAGGCGTCGGGCGGTCTCGCAGTCGCCCTGCTCGCAGGCGCGGAGGAAGAGCTGGACCTGGGGGGGCACCCCGCATTCCCCCATGGGCAGCGCTGCCGGGCCCCGAGCGGCTCGGCCGCCCGCGACCGCCCCCGCCGGGAAGGCAGCGGGGAGGAGGGGACTCGGCTGGCGGGAGGAGGCCGGCCCAGGGCGGCCGTAGCGCCCCAGCCGCTCTCGCAGGGCGCGAAGGGGGAGCCGGGCTGAGCTGCGCTCCTCGGAGCCGCCGAGGGTTATCGCAGCCTGGGCCGGGGGGTTCGGCGCCTCTCCTGCCCCGCTGGCAGCCCCAGCGGTGCCTCCCTGCCTCGCCCAGCCAGCGCCTGTGTCCGCACGGCTCCTGCCCTCTTCGCCGAGGGATTTCTGCGCTCTGGCTTGCACCCGTTCCGCGCCGCTACTGGCTGCCACAAATTAAATGTCTCCGCATTGCATGTCTTTTCTGCCCGGAGTCATTTCAGCAGGCCTTCGCTATGGGGCTGATTCCTTCTCACCTGACACAACAATCCCTTTTTCTTGCTTCGCAACGCGACTTCCTACAGCCTGGCGCGGTCCCTTTGTCAACCCCGCTCCGTGTACATGATACTTCAGCCTTTATTTGCACTGTTCTACTTTGTGTCTCCTATAGCTCCAAAGCGATCTCTCCTTTCAATGAGATACATGATTTGAAGTTCAGTCTTTTGCCCTACAAACACCCATTTCTCATCTCCTGACAGCGCTGGTTAGTCTTTCAGTTTAAAATCTTTGTGCATAAAATGTGGATTTCTTTTGTGTCTTCTCTTCAGTTTCAGCCCCCCTGGAAATCCTGAAATCTTTCCTAGGTTAGACTGATTTTACATCTAAAGCAAGGCAAAGAAGAAAAGAAAAATCTTGAACTTCGTCACTCAAGGATATCGTGTTGTGTCCCCTATCTAAATTCAGATAGGTAATTTTCTATGAAAATCAGTGACTTCAATGGCAGGACAGGGCACTTGTAACAGGATGGAGGGTTTGGGAATGAGAAGACTAGGAAAACTTAAAAAAAAAAAAAATAAAACTACCAAATGCCACTAAAATGTAGCAATCCCCTAGTTTTAGGCAGTGGCATCCTTATCTTCCAAGTTTTACAGCTTTTTGGCTCTGATACACTGGCAAATCCAGATTACTAGATCATCATGGCAAAGGGCCAAACAAGTTACACTTGGAGAAATTCTACAGCAAACAAGAGTCTTGGCTGCAGTTATGGACACTTTTCCTTTGGGAAAGTACCATTCATAGCAAAACAAAATAAGAATTCGCTTATTTATCATTACAGAAATAATAGAACAATTTCCTGGACAGGGCACGTATTCATTGTAGATAACATGTGTTAACTCATGTAGAATATTTAAGTATGTGTTGCCTACATTTATGTTAAATAATTTTCTTAAGCATAAAGAAGCTTACAGTGGCTGTCAGCAGAGTGAAGATGGGTGAGTTGGGAGAATTTTGGTCCAGCCAAATCAGCCTACAGCCATCCTTACATTACAACAGTATGAGAAACTTGCCATTGTCAATAAATCTGGATGGTGCACTTCACTCTTTGTAAGATTTCAGAGCCTGGAAGAAGGGAATGGAAAGAGTGATTAATGCAATACATTATTCATGATTGAAGAAAATTGGGTCATACTTACCATATCAAAGTGCATGCTCAGATATCAAATTAGTGGCAAGATCACTCCAGTTTATCTTTGAGATAAGCTACTCAACATGTTGATCCTACAAATTTATGTTATGTAGCTGATGGTTATGCTATCAATTTCTACTCATGGTTTGAAACTCCAGACAAAGATATCATTAATGGATTTAGAAACCTATCTGCAAAAGATGCAACACTTATTTTAGGAAGTTTATAAGACATAGGAAATATTTGATGTGGTTTAAAAAATGAGAGGGAAAATTATTTGTCCTGAATTCTGCTGCTGTCATCTGATGGTCATTATCATCTTCAGTTGGCATCCTAGGCTTTTATACTGGTATGATCACTCAGGGATTTCTGTCACTTACGGACAATCAAGGCAAGGAAAAATAATCAAATTTCTTCTGAAATTAATAAACTTCTGTGGAATATTCTCCTGGATGATGCAGTACCAAGCTCTTTGGAAAATATAGGATTTGATTTCTTCACCAATGAAAGAACAACCTAAGCCTTTCAAACAGTTCATTAGGGTAAGATAATGGAGAAAATGTAGGTTGGCAGATAAGATGGGACAAAATAAAACCAAGATTCTCAAGTGCAGACTGTGTGTGAGTTGTTCAGAAGATTTGTCCAAACTGCATCTTTGTCCAGTCAGTGAAAAATGCATTGCTTTTGATAAGAAATTCCTTTACATCAGTTCTGTGCTAATTTATATAGCTCAATGTTAGATTGCTCCAAGGTTAAAATAATTTTAAATGACAGGAAAAACCCTAATGAATGAAGAAATTGCTTTCAAATAAAGAAGATGAGGACAGTGCAAGGAACAGAACAGGCCCACTAAAAAGTGCAGAACAGATAAGGCAGGAGTACACATGTCAGGAATCAACATCTGTGAAAATTCTCTAACATAAGTCTCCACTGCTGATGATCTCAAAACACTAGCAATACTGGCAAGGAGATACAAGCTTTATTGATGCTACTCATCATATAATGTGAAATAAAAGAGATAAATTATTTAGGGCTATTGTTCTTCAAGATTCAGAACTCATCTTTTGCCAAACAAAGCCTAGGAAACCGTTAGAGCATGTAATGTACCTGTGGAACATTAAAGTAAGTGTAATATGGCAAATGTGCAATGATATAGAACTACAAATTGGCCAGGTAAGGTGACAAAAAATTCTGTTGCTCGTACAATAGTAATAGGATGTAATATATTTGGATACATACCATGACACATGAGCAAATCTCTACCTTGTATATAATTCAGGATCATGAAATATGGAAAACTGTAAAATTGCCATCATAATCAAAAGCCTCTCAGAAATGTTAAAATGCATATAGTCAAGCAATCTGTTCCAAAGAAATCCATAAAACAAGAAACAGCTGACTCATTCATAATCTGTATTTTCAAAAAAGAGGATGGTGGCATCTCAAATCCCCAAGTATGATGACATTTTTTCATGGCAATTTAAGAGGTAAAAGACTTATTTTCTACAGTAAAATCTTACTGATGTGAATCACAAGAAAGTCATATTTCTGAGAAAAAGAAAACTGAAATTTTTAGTATGTCTTTTGTGTGAAAACACTAATCTCTGCCTTAATGAAAAGTAAGACACATGTATTAGAAATACCATCACAGAACAGGAAATGCTTCCGCAGTATCACTGGACTTATGTATGTTAACTGTGGTCTTTTCAGGCATAGAAACAGAAACAACTTTGAAAAAATTACTAAAAACCAAATAGTAGTAAGCAGCTACACTGTAGGGTGAGAAAGATTAATTTCACTATTCAATACCTGCTTGACTTCTTGGTTCTGAATTTTAATTATGGTCTTCCTTTTGTCTACTATAACCATGTGCTATACCTTTATGAGGAATTTACTTCATTTATATGTTTCAGAATATGCCATAATTTTGACAAACATTCAGAAAGTATTTGCAACTCCATGTTTTAATTAATTGTGTCTGCATGAGACTTCATGAAAAATCAGTCAGGTTTCCAACAAAACATATTTTTATTAACATGCCACATCATACCATACTTTGTGAGCAGAACTGCAGTTTTGTTGCAATACTTTCTGACAGCTAAGCTTCCTGGCCTAGGTTTCCTTTATGTACATTATCTGTTCCACTGCCTATAGTTCATGCTTGCTATTTTGCTTAAGAGAAAAATTATCTGCAAGCAATACATACCTACAGCACGCAAATATATTGATTGATGCCTTTGACATGCATACTCTATCTCTGTCTGTCTGTCCTGGCTTGTATGTGAGTTTCTGAGCAAGGCATTTTGTGTGTGTAATTTATCTATGTGCACACATACACATGTACATGTGCACATACATGTTCTACAGAGGTCTGCAAACTGGTGTAGCTGAGGTCTTGGCCAAGTAATCCACTGAATGCTGCCTCATTTTATTGACCTGTCACTAGGAGAATTTCACAGCATTCATCAGATAGAAGGTCCCTGAAATAGGCGACAGTTTCTATGTCAGTCATCAAGTCTGTGTTTTTAATCTGTTTTATTTTTAGAGTTCTTCCTCTCATGTCAACTCCTTGATCTCTCTACCTGTGCACTATACACCCAGCTTCCCTCTTGACCCAAAGCTTACCCTGTAAAACAGGGATCCTGCTGAAGCACCAGCACCTTTTGGCACCGGGGAAGAAGGGTGTGGCTCATTTCGTGTTTTGTATGCACTGTGCAGCTGTCTCAAATAAAGAGACTTTCAATCCAAACAGATTTATTTTTAAAAATCCTTGGCACTGGTAGTTACAGGCTGAATAATAATATTTTAAAAATATTTGTGCTAATAAAGGAGAGAAAGAGCAGCCAAGATGGCCAAGATGAGAACTGGGGGGGGGGGGGGGGGGTGTTGCAGGACAGTGCACAGTTTTTATGTACATTTAAAACAATGGTGAGCAATGAGCCCATAGGTCCAATGCTATCTCCAGTGGGTATGTTTTATAGCTTGGATTATTCTTTCTTTCCTTAAACAAATTTCCTATGTCCAAAGTATTTGTACATGATGTTTCCTATCATATTCTTCTGATTTTTCTTTTTTCTTTAGAATATGAAAGCATTGGCTTTTTCTAGAACTAGGAACTTTATTCTGAAATACATTAATTGATACTCTATTTTTACTCTGGAAGTGTGGATTTAGGAAGCTCTTTAACTTATTGAAAATGCAGTCTTCCCACTCAATTTCCATTTTAGATTTTTGCTTTTTTACACACAAAAGGAAAAAAAGGAAAAATTTGCAAAATTTAATAGCTCTGTTTTTTCTGTGATGTATATGTCATCATTAAAAATAAGAATACCTTTTAATAACTCTACAGGTGTCAAATAGTTCACCTTATCTTACCTCTTTAGGTATTCCCTATATGTAAACCTCATGTATTTTAGCTAAAACCTAAAAAAACCTCCTGTATTTTAGGTATTTCCTATATGTAAAGCTCATGTATTTTAGATGAACTAAGTATTACTTTCATTTCAAACATATTTCAGAAAACAACAGATACACTCTTAACTTCAGCTATTACATTCACTATAATGTGAATTCTTGTCTTGTGGACAATTACATATTGTTGCAGTTAGTTTTTATATCTTAGTGCTTTTTGATAGGTTTAGTTAATATTTTGTATACTTTTTGAGGTGAATAAATGATTTTCCATGTTAAAAAATAAACTTTTCAAAGGCATTGATTATTCTACCGATCTTCTGGTTTAATTTGGACAACTAAGGGCACAATAGATATTTCTAGATAAGTAATTAGAGTTTTTATATCACTTGTTTGGTTACTCTACTTATCTTTCTTTGAAACTCCTGAAGCAAATGAAATTATAGCTCTTTAAACACTAAAAAATCATAACTAATTGTTTTAACTTTTATTCTTCTATCCACCTGAAAGAAACAAGAGAACTTCTTAAAAGGAACTCTTCCATGAAAATGTTGCTACAAGTTTTATGGCCAGCAGTAAACTCATTCATTTGCTTTATTAATTGTAGATTGTTTTTCCTCTGGGGCTTATTTGTATGTTCAGAGAGAATTCTTTACACCTTAACTATTTCAGCTGAGAATGTTCAGTCTTCCCATCATATTTACACCCCAAAAATGTTAGAAAAGGTTTGACAAAACATGTTTTTGCTTTCATATTCTTTACATGTTGTACAAACTTCTTTGTGAATGCAACTAACTGATTCTTCATGATTTTTATATTAACCTGATCATTGTACTTTCTCTTGATGAATTTCCTCTGGTCTATGTGTTTGGACATCATCCCCAGGGAACTAATCTTTATTAGCAATACTTTCAATTCCCACTGTGATGATGATCACAGAAAGTCTTCACCTATTACTTTGCTGTAAGAGCATTATTACTCCTGAGAGCAGTTCTGTAATTTTGGTTCTCTGTTTCCCATTTTTTTGTTTCAGAACTTGTTTTAGTCATGTAATCATGTTCTTATGTTTCTTCCATATTGCTCTAATACTTTAAATACTTATATAAAATATAGATTCTTATAACATTTAAGAACCTCTGCAGAAGAACTCTCTGTTTTTTTTTCTTGAGTTTTATCTTTTTTTTTTTTTTTTTTTTTTTTCCCTCACTCTTCTTAATTAACTCTTAGTCCTATATTTTGTTCTTTACCTCTTCCCAATCTCCTCAGTAACTTCTTTTGGGAGTCCAGGAGGATCACTTCTTTGATTCACTCCAGGAAAATGCTTCCTTTATTCAGAAAGATGGCAAGCAAGGAAGAAAAGCAAACACTGGGCATGCAATAACTGGTGCCACCTGACTCTTCAGACCCAAAGTTTGCTAGTCACAGCTTCCTTTATATGCAATGTAAATTCTCACGTCCAACATATTGTTATTTAGTAGTTGTTTACAAAGCGTATTGCAATTAGATTTATACCTATATAATTACCTGTGATAGTTAGCTGTATAGATGAATAAGAAATAATCTGTCTATTCACACAGTCATTGCAAATCCACCTAAATTACTTGCTTTATACTAGCTTGCCAGAATCAGAATCAGTCACTGGTTTTCAGTACCCTTGTGTCCAGAGCATGGTCTCCACGGTAGTTGAGTCTGTGTTTGTTGTCACATACAATACTTATTATAATGTAAAATGAGAAAGAGCTCATAGCTGTATGCTCTTACCCTGATAGTGATGAAATTTTTCCCTTCCTTAGTGTTAGTTTCTTTCACTTAGTAGTGCTGGTGAGCACCACCCAGTGCTGTGTACTGGGCTGAAGTTCTCTCTGTGGGCATGACTGAACTCCTCTGATGGGTTGATCTTGACAGGCCTCCACCAGCAGAGGATGTTGCAGAGAACAATTTCTTTGGAAAATGGGTGGAACGAATGACACCTCGAAACCGGTTCCAGCTCCCTACTGCATGTGAGAGAGAAACTGTATACAGTTATGTTACATTTATGTTAAAGTGTTTCAAATGCAAAATCAGGAGCTCTCAGGTAATATCACCGCCTCCAGATCACAAGTTTAGGCAGACAGGACTTCATACTGTTAGGGGCTGAAGTAAAACAAGCAGTATGGATATGTTGTGGAGTATGAAGCAAATCTGAAAGTTCTAACTAGTGCTGCTGTTGTTTTTTTCCTCCATGATTCTGTCAAGCCATAGAATGGACTGCCCATTTTCTGTATAGTAAACTTGGGATTTTCTCTAGTCTTCTGGATTTCTCTCAATGAGGCAACATAGGTTGACTTCTTTTTTCAGCCAAGAACACTAATTTATTCAACAAAAAAAACTTGCCATTAATGCCTATAACTTCTTAGCCTGGGTTCTGCTCTACTTCTGAAGCACATGCTATTTACAGGTAGCAGAATGGATGAAGCCTGGTTTCCCATCAATTTGTTCCTTTCAACCCCTAAGCTCTTCCTAGTCATTCTGTGGGAAATAACCTCCCTTGCTGTCCTGCAGCTCCGAAAATTTCTGTCTATAGACAGCAAGCCTTGGGGCTATCCCAGGGGCCAAAGCAGCTTGCTGTGGTCCTGGCAGCTCAGTGCCAGAAGCGCTTTCCCTTGCTGGGGAAACTGTATATCCGCCATGCAGCTATCAGTGCTTATGAAAGTTCTTCAAGCTTCAGGGCGACTAGATCACCTTTCGCTTGAAAAAGGAACATGCCTTCCTCCCTCCTGCCCACATCCCAGCTCTGTGTGATCCAGCAGAACCAGGATAGCTTCTACTCCCTCCTTGCCCCGGGATGGGTCAGCACCAGCACTGGTTCAACTGGTTATGTCCCCAGGGTGAACGCGGAGCAGGTTGGAGCGGCGTGCCTTCCCTGGGGTGCTGGAACCCTCGGGGGCCAAGCAGCCTTCCGACCACCAGGAGACCGAGGTACATCGTTCCCGGGGAGGCGGCTGGCGGGGGGCGGGGGCGCAGCACCCCTGAGGGACAAGCAGGGCGGGTTCCCTGCCCAGGGGTAGCGCTCCCCGCCCCGCCGCAGCGCCCGTGCCCGGCTCTTCCGCGCCGCGCCCCTCCGGGTTGGCCGGCGGCGGGGCGGGGAGGAGGGAGGAGCCGGCGGCGGAGGAGCCGTGCGGGCTTCCTGGCGGGGCAGCGCTGGCGGCGGGCGGGTATCGCGGCGTGGGCAGGTCCGTGAGAACTTCGCGACTCTGCCCGGGGCGGAGGCGCTGCCGTGTCCGTGAGACGGCAGCCGCCGCCCGCTCGCCATGGCCGGCCGCCTCGGCCGCGGGATGTGCTGGGGCAAGCGGGGCCGGGGCTGCCGGGGCGAGGGCGCGCTGTTCGCCCTGGCGCTGCTGGCCGCCCTCGGCTTCCTCGTGTGGCGGCACGGCCCGCCGCCCCGCCACGCCGCCCGCCGCGCCCCGCCGCAGCCGCCGTCCCCCGACTCCGAGCTGCTGCGGCGGCCGGTGTACGCCAAGCCGGCCCTGGACCCGGGGGCGCTGGGGGAGCTGGGCCGGGCGGTGAGGCTGGAGCTGAGCCCGGCCGAGAAGCGCCGCCAGGAGGAGAGCATCCGCCGGCACCAGATCAATATCTACCTGAGCGACCGCATCTCGCTGCACCGCCGCCTGCCCGAGCGCTGGCACCCGCTGTGAGTACTGCCGAAGGCAGGTGGGGTCGGGGCAGAGGTGCCGTGCCTGCCGCTGCTGCGGCTCAGAGCCGCTCCGGCAAACTGGAGTGTCTGCTGGCAGCGGTCAGCGCGGGGTAGTCGTGTCTCTCTTGAGTACCTCTCGCTCAGGAGCGCGGAGGCTTTTGGAAACTTTCCCATCCCAAACGCTCTTGCATCGCAGCGCTCGCTCTCAGAGTTAAGTCGATTGGTGACTTTGCAGGCTGCCGCACCCACACAAGGCAGTACAAAATCGCGTGTTGGTGGTGCGTGTACAGGTTATTTTCTCTGGTAGTGTGTTTTCAGTCCTCAAGCTACGCTGCTCTGCCGTGTTTCTCCTGCTGCTGTCCACTCCTGCTGCTACTGGGTAGCAGCATGCATTTTCAGTCACTCCCAGCTTTACAAATGTTAAGCTTCCTAGACTTCAGCTGTGGATTGTATTCAAATGTCTTAAGACACACAGTTTAAAGGAGCAGTTTTACCAGGAGTGAGCTAGAAGTGGTGCTCACAAAGGTAGGGAATGGTATTCTGAAGTGGGACTGTGCCTGATCCGGGATGCATGGTTGCTGGCACAAGGTGCATTTACAAATTACATTTACAGTTACGACACCAGTGGCAGATAATCGCATAGGGAATTGTAAACGAAGGGTTAGATAACGTTAGATGAGGTGGCTCTAGTTTACAAGGCAATGGCTCAGTGCAGCTATGAAGCCAACGTGGCACAACAGGTCTGACTGTTGTGCTCTCGTGCAAAAACTCAGTGTGGCACCGTCTTGGGCTCTCCTGTGAGTGGATGGTGAGAGCCGGTTAAGGGGATATGCTAGCCATCACAGGGGATGGGATGGAGCCACGGCTGCTACTGACTCCTCATTTCTGTTTCACTTGAGTGTGGCTTCAGCTGATTCATTTCGTTGCAGCAGGTTTGTACGATATGGTAATAAAAAGCTGTGGAAAAGGCAGGGCTCTGTCTCTCCTGTGCATTCACTTCATGCCTGTGTGTCCTGCCCAATGTTTAACCAACTCTAATTGTAAGTGCTGAGTCTAAAACGTGAGTCTTATGATGGCTTTCAAAAAGTTGCAAATGCAAGGCTTTTTCATTATAAGTTTGAGCCTGACACTAGGCTTGTTTTACTTATTATTTCCCTCTTATCAGCAGTCTGTAGACCATAGGTCAAAAAGGACCATTTTAGTTTCATTTCCGTGGGAAGAATTAATTATTTCAATGAGTTATTTTGGACTTCTGCCATTTCTCTATGACAGGGTGCTATATGAAATGGAAGGTCACAGTTGTTGAATAGGAGATCTTATAGATGGTTGTGGGTGACTATTCTAGAAATGAAAATGATTTAAATAGATTTTGCTACAACAGCAGACCCTTTTTGATTTTAATATATGGATGCTGAAATGACAAAATATATCCAAACCAAAAGAATCACAGAAGCATCAGTGACATAATCTCAGAGATAATTGCCTTCTGAAGCTGAGGCTGTATTGTACTGTTGGCAGGTGCTTCATGCCTTTGCACACAGTTAAATCTAAATTATGGCAAGAATGTCACAGAGCATCTCTCCAACTCACACAGCAAATGAAAAAAACTTTCCCAAAGGCAATTTTGCAACTAAGTGTTAACTCCTTCTCTCAAGAAGGAAGACCATGTAAAAGATTGAAGTAAAAAAAAAAAAAACTTATCATCAAGCCCACAGCCATAGAAAATGCATTACAGTTTGTTCCAAGATTAGAGGTTATCCAGTTCAAAATCTCGAGTCTAGGGGAAATCTTATTTATGTATATTTTTATTTTAAGATGGGTAATGCTTGACTACTCTAATGAACATGTTGGTGATGGGTGAGGCTATAATGATGGGAAATAAGTAGTAATGGTAAATGGCAACTAGACTTCAGTGGTCCACCAAAATCATGCAAAGGTTAAATTTTAGATGTGATCAGTGAAACGACTTTGGTACCAGAAGATGACAAATGCACCATTTTTTAGTGGATTCCCAGAAGAGAACCAGAGAACTGTGTGCTGGCAAGCCTTGGATCTTTTCCAGTCACGTTATCTACAAACTGTGGTAAGGGAAAGAATTAGTAACAGATGGGAGGGTGTGATCTATTGAGAAAGTCAACAAGGCTTTTGTCAAGGATGATGTGTCTCACAAATCTTTGAGTTCTTCAAAGGTTTTAATTATATGGATAAAGAAGTGTGTTGTTACTTGATGAGTTCCTTAAACAACTGTAAAATAATGTGGAAATTCCTTGCATTTATAAATGACTGAGTAGAATCTGTGAATTTTTTTTTTTTTGGTTGGTTTTTTTCAGTTTTTTTGTTTGATTAGTTTTGTTTTTTGTTTGTTTTAAGGAGCAAAGATTTCCCACAGAAATCTGTGTTGGACTCAATGCAGTTCAACTTACAGCATGTCTTTCATAAAGAAGTGACTAATTTACAGGTCTTCCTGGTGGCTTGCTGGAATTGTACCTCCTGCAGGATTCCTGCAGTACATGGTTGATGCATGAAAATGGATGAAACAAATTCTGCCACCTCCCTGTTCCAAAAATCCATTTCCTGTAAAGCATAGTCCCTCCACTAGAAAATTTAAATAAAATGTTCAGGAGATATTTACAGATACTATACTTGGAGATTCTGTTCTGGGCTATGGGCTTTTGGTCTGTTTCAGCATATTCTTGTATGTGTGGAGGCAATCAGGACATTTTAGATACCAAAAAAGAGACAGCATTACAACACCTGGATGCCCCAAAGCTCCTTTTGACATTAATGTCCTCCCACACTGATCAGTGAACCCACTCTCTGTGTGTGAATTGGTGAAAACATTTGAATCCAATGAAAACAAGAGTTTTGCTAATAAGATAGTGTCTGAACCAGTAAGCTGTTAAATGTGATATGCAAAATGATTGCACAAGGTGTTGCTGTGTCAGAAACTCGTGCCAAAAATCTTTTCCTAGTGCTGCATGTTGTACATCCTGGACCTGCCATGGGAACAGAAGTGTGGCAGGTATTTGCTAATATCTGTGTCTGTAATACTGTTCAGAAAGAAAAGAATAGTTTGGCTGAGGTTACTCTCTCAAATAATGTTTGGATTGATGATATTTGACTATATTCATAAATCCAGGAGGTTTCTAATATAGATCTTTCTCTTACCAATATATTCCTGGCAGTGAAAATATTTAGAAATTTGTTAGTCCTTCTTGTTCCCACCACTGTAATTTGCTTTTTTGATGACTGATTCCGTTCTATTGACCTGCAGACCCAAAGAACTTGACAACTACAATTGTTTCCTTCATACAATTTCTGCTTCCTTTATCTGGCTGAGCTTGACATCAGCAACTGACAATGTGTTTCATCACACAAGAATTGTTTAGTTTTATTGAAAGTATACATATAAACAAGTAAATATTATGTATAAATAATCTATTAAAATGTTAATTTGGAAGACTCTTATGGATAAGAATGTAAGTTACTAAATGATCATACAGTTTGTACAAGGCTAGAAGTGAAATAAGCCATAGGGTCAGAGAAGGATTGAGGTTGGAAGGAAACTTTGGGGTGTCTAGTCCAACACTGAAACCTCCAAGGATGGAGATTCAACAACCTTTGACCACATCTTTAAATGCAACATCACTGCCACAGTGATTTCTTTTTATTTTTTCCCCTGATCATAAGGTTGCCTGGATGGCCCAGCTTCCCAACATTTACCCTTAATTTCTTGAATTTGTTTTCATAAAGGAAGTAACAATTATAGGAGGTTTAAAGCCAGCAATTGTTCTGTGTCAGACTTTGAGGGCCCTGTTGAGGCTGATGCCCTGTAAGTGAGTGTGGTGAGCCTGGGGCCATGGGGTGTGATTGCTGCTGCTGCTTCTCTGCCTTCTTCCCCCTGCAACAACACGTCTGCATTGTGTCCCATGGGGCTTCTCCAGGACTGTAGGGCTAGGCAGACAACTGATATGTTCTCTTAGCCTTTTACAGCTGATTACAATGTGTAAGAAATACATTTCCAGTTTTTCTACTTGGGTTCTTTCAGATTAAGGACTATTTTCAAGCATTGTTTCAGATTTTAGACTTTTTTTTTTTCTTTCTATATCACAAGAGGGATGCATTGCTCATTTATTTTGGGGATAGTTTCTGTAAAATCACACAAGCTGCCTTTCAGCTGACTCTTGGTACAAATGGAACAATCAGGACTAGGCACTTTTGTGCTGACTCAGCATTTCATGCTTTCTCTTTCATGGTAGAAGCCTGATTCAGCCCTTGGGGCTCATTTTACTTGTGATCACAAGGAAATGGATTTTTAATTCTTTCCTGTCTTTCCTAAGTAGCCACAAAAGCCCCCAAAATATTGAATGTGGTCTGCATAGTATTTTTCAGCTATTAGAAAAAGTTCTAGAGGTTTGTTCTTTAATTCTAGGTAATCTTCTGCATTTTGGAGAGATTCTTTATATATTTTTTTTTGTATATGTGTGATTTTATGTATATTTTTACGTGTCTGTGCATATACCTTTAAGTGTCTTTGTATAGATAGCTAGATATACACAAATGCTCAAATTCCTCTGCCACCATCATTTATGCCTATCATTTTATTTTTTTGGGGGGGAAAATTATGTTTGACTTTAGCGTAACAATCTTCTGCTATGATTATTTTGTCTTTCAATACTGTTTTTCCTGTTTGCTCCCATATTTGAATTTGAATCTCCCAGAGTCTCTCTTCTGTGGTTTGTTTTGTTTTTTGGGCTGTAAATAGTAAATTATACCAGGATGTTTGTCTGATAGTATCTTCCTAACAAGTTCCAAGAATAAGCCTTGATATTAGGTTTTGGTTCCTTTTCTACTCCAAAAATCACAGCTACTCCTGCTAGGAGTTTTAACCTGACACTGTTCTGGGAAAGTTCCCAGATCTGTGATTGATAGTAAGCAAAAATTGATTTTTTTTAAATTCAAAAACTGCTTTTATTTAAGCAATTGTCTGTAAGGAT